ATTACCAGACCATCTGACCACATCACCGGGGCAATTAAGCTTAAATAATGGCTGGCTGGATCTGATCTGCTCATGACTCATGACATTATTCAGTTTTTGCTGCCAGGAGGAGCTGACCATGAGCTTTTATTGATTTACTTATTTATTTTTTGTAGGGGGCACTAACATAACACATCTAATTTAACCAATTGGCAGGTAAAGAAGAGAACGATCCAAAGATCGTTCATTCGGGAGGAATGCAGGGATTTCCCACATGAGTTTAGAGCGTGATGTCACCAAATATAGTTATTTGAGGGTGTTTCTGTATGTAAACGATGGATACGAACAATCAGATACGCACAGGTAGGATTTATCATCAATTGATGAGTGAGGAACATGCATGCGCACAAGTGACCGCCATGTGTCTTAAATCAGGATTTTGGCCATTTGTACGAACTTTCAAAGTTTCATTAGTTTGATGGATTATAGGGCAGTTTCTACAAACGTTCCATGAATGGGCCCTAGTTTTAGGCCCTGTCCACACGTAGCCGGGGATCTGCCAAAACGTAGATATTTTTCTACGTTTTGGCCTGTCATCCACACGAAAACGGAGTTTTTTCACACGAAAATGAATCTTTTTAAAAACTCCGGCCAAAGTGAAGATCTGCGTTTTCTCCGTTTTGGGTGTCTGCGTGTGGACGGACAAAACCGGAGTTTTAAGCTCTGCAATGTCACTTTCCGCGACAAAAAAAATGCTGACATCACGTGTGCGACCTGTGTTTACACTAGTCGACAGCATGGATGACCTCAGAGCTGCGCTCGCTTTATCAGTGGTCCAAGCGCTTTTTGCTTGTTTGTTTTTGCAAGCGGAATTACTGCTCCTTGCGGAAGACCACAGAAGGACGAGGTTAAGAACGGGGGAAGTACTGCCGCCTACAGGTCTGGCATGTCCTTAACAACGTATTTATCCGGGTACGTGTGGACAGAGTTTTGTTTTTAAACGAGGTGGTGTGGATGCAAGTTTTTGGAGGGGCGGATATTCGTTTTTAAAAAACCCGGCTACGTGTGGACTAGGCCTTAGATTTAACACAGAGGAGCAGAAATAATTAGGATTTAGCAGCAGCACCTGTGCAAAGACTGCTCCCACACTTTTCTAATATTACGTAACATAGCCTGTCAGACTGTTCTGTGCTCAAGTTCAAACTCTTTTACTCTGAAAGTGTCTCCAGCAACACATTCTCAGTAGAAGAAGAAGAAAATATCTTTTCTATAGCGCCTCTCAAGATAAAAATCACAAGGCGCTTCACAAAAACAAAAAATGTAAAAATATAAAAAAAGAATTTAGAAAATGGATAAAAATATATTTAAATGAGCAAAAAATAGACAATTGTGGTTAAAAACAAAATGTTAAGAAAGAGAGAGAGAGTGAATAGGAAAGAGGGAAATCAGTGGATCCTGAGGAAGGTGGAATAGGTGGGGAGAGCAGAATAAAGAGAGAGTGATGAAGGCCACACAAAAGCCAGCTTGAACAAGTGAGTCTTCAGCTGCTTTTTAAAGGAGACCACTGAGTCCACTGATCTCAGGCTCAGGGGGAGAAAGTTCCAGAGTCTGGGGGCCACAGCAGCAAATGATCTGTCACCTTTGGTCTTTAGCCTGGTGCTGCACAACCAGTAGGCTTTGATCACTGGACCTCAGGGACCTGCTGGGGGTGTAGGGACTAAGAAGATCACCAATGTAAGATGGTGCTTGTCCATGTAAGGCCCTATAGACCAGAACCAGGATCTTGAAATGAACCCTGAAGTTGACTGGCAGCCAGTGAAGCTGGAGGAGTAGCGGGGTGATGTGGGTGTGTTTGGAGGACTTGGTCAGAAGCCGAGCACAGGCATTCTGAACCACCTGTAGACGGTTCAGGGAGGTTCTGCTCAGACACGTGAAAAGAGAGTTACAGTAGTCTAAGCGTGAGGAGATGAAGGTGTGGATAACTGTCTCAAGTTCAGAGTGGGACAGAATGGGACTCAGCTTAGCAATGTTCCTGAGATGGAAGAAGGAAGAGCAACAAGAGAACTGACATGAGAATCCAGGGTGAGAGCTGGGTCAAAGGTCACGCCAAGATTCCTGACAGAAGGTTTGGTGTGGGAAGCAAGCTGACCAAGAGAGTCTCTGACTTTGGGAACCAGCTTGTCTGGGGCACAGATGAGGATCTCAGTCTTATCTTCATTCAGCTGAAGAATGAAGCCATCCAGGTTTTGATAGAGTCTAAGCAGGTGTGTAACAACTGCAGCTTAGACATGTTGTGTTATTATAGTTTTGTAAAAATCTGACAACGTCTGAAGACGACAAATATAACATCTGTATATAGCTAACGTGGCTATATAACAGAGCAGAAGGTATCCTGTGGGAAAGTGATTAAGATTATATAAAGAGCAATCATTAGACAAAATAACTACAGCTGATGATGTTTTGGGATTCAGAACTGATTTTAAACATTTATGGAAATAAGATCTAAGAGCACTGACTTATTTCATTATGTCACAATAATCCGGAAAGCGGAGAGATTTATTCCTTTTTGTTTTCTACCAGCAACACCCAAACAGAGTAACTACTTCCTGTTTCGAGTTGTTTTTGAGCTTTAAACTGCAGGATTGTGGGAAAGCAAAAGGGCGTTACAATGAGATGCAGTGAGGCTGATGGATTCCTTTATGGATCAGAGATGAACCGACATCACAGAAAGGTTTTAGTCTGATGCCATAAAATGATGCAGGATTTATTTTATCTGCTTCTCCAAGCTGCCTGGATTCAGTCATTTCCAACGTTGGGTGATTAATGCAGCTCCCTCATCCCTTGGCGCGTCTCTCTGAGAGGTGCTGATGCTGAGGCAGTTTCCATGGTAACCACAGGCTGCTGCATCTCTGCCTCTATCTTTTCCCACGCGGAGTCGAGGACTGAGCTTCTCAGACGGCCTGTGGCTGTCGTCACTCAGTCTCCTTGGCAACATGACACAACAGCAGCAGGCTGAGAAACACAATCCACCCCCCACCCCACCCCACCCCTTCTGCCGTCCTCCGTCTTCCGGCTGATTCATGTAGATACTGAGCGTGCTGCTCCATTTATTACTGCCATGATATGATTTAACACCTCCCTGATTCTCCTACACCTCCTCTTCTGGTATCAATATGTTTCCCCGCAGTTCCCCGTGCTGTAGCTGCTCTGCAGCACACCGAGATCTGACCTTCATTCCAGCTTATTTATAGTGGTCTCACGTAGGCCAAGGCTCCACCGTCTCCCAATAAGGCTGAAGAGGGGCTCTGCCCTTGTTTACCGTCATCCTTTGATGCATTATTAATCAGGCATTGTGGCAGGAGCTGGCCACAAGGATAATAGACATTTCATTATAATACTGTTTATACTGGCAGAGAAGCTAAATGAGGATAATTATAGACACTTTGTGTCACGTCACGTCCAAAAGTTTTCACTCACCGATCAGAGTGAGACTCCGACCAATTGGTTGAAGCTGCTGGGGCAGGAGGTTTCCCCATTCCATGCATTAGTGTAGTTGATGATAATGCATGTTCATAACTACAATAAAAAAGGAACTACATTAGCAGGAAAAGTAATTAAATTACAGTGACGATCTGTTTGCCAGAAGTTAAACCTTCCAGAAATCATACTAAGCGGTACATTACGTACCGAAATGTGCTAATGTAGCATTAGCATTCAGTGCTAATAAGGCTAACATTATATAAAGAGCAGACAGTCAAGTTCAAGGATTGTACCTAACAAATGAACAAGGACTTCATGATGATAAGTGTTGGTGAGAAGAAGACATAATTACCTGTCCAACAACAAAGTAGCCACCATAGCATCGGTTTTCAGTCCCGCCGACTCACGTAGTTTTCGTCATCGCTGAACACCAATGTTCACTCTGTTTTTTCTTCTATGTCCAAACGATGTTTGCTTTCTAAAACCACAAATGGGTTTTTACTTTTTCCAAGTTTGGAACTTGGCCCTGAACCTGACGCGGAACCAGCCGGCGGCTGTTTTTCCTGCTGTGACATTCTAAAGCTGCAAATGCTCCCAGCAGTGGTGTGCTGCAGTAATATGTCCCAGTTTATCAGGAGCACAGAGGCAGTATGAATGCGGAAGTCCGTATGGCTGGAGAGACTATCCAATCATTGGTTCCGCTCCGGACCATTTTATTGGTTGATGTTTTTAGACAAATGCGGCGGAACCACTTCATTGTTTATTTTTTTTCATTTTTTTTTTCGTTCTTCACAAATTATTTTTCTCCATGCGGTGTTAAAACGTTTTTAATGGGCATGAAAAAAATATGTTCAGCTATTTTGTTAGGCAAATGAAGTATAGCAGCTTTAAGCTGTTTCTGGACGAAACGGTCTTTAAATTATTTTGTATCTGCTGTGCTTTGTAATTTAGGATGTGATGCTTGCAGATCACAACATTCCAGATAAGGCTAAGCATACTTCCTCCTATTATGTAAGAAAATTCTAGTAATGTAGAACTTTCTAGCTCAGCGAGGTGCTTAGAGAGGTTAAATGACCCAACCAAACAGTTTTAGCTTGTGACCTTCATCTAAAATTTCCTCAGACTTCTTGAAATTTGAACGTGTTGCTGACGTTTTCAAAGTACTATGACTTTTAACAATCAGAATGACCAAGTTTCTTATTTGTTTTTCCATTTTCTTGGCCTTAAAAAGTATGTTTTTGTTGATTCTCTGTAACGAATGTGGCCAATAGGTCACTCTTTATTTGGTAAAGTTTGGTGTATTCAGTCAGATTTCATGAATAGTGGTCACAAGTCTGGATTTTATTAATTTTTTTAAAGTGCTGATCTGCTTCAATGATCCATGTTAACGGGCCAAAATTCTACTATTATTTCTTAAATACCATTTTAAGGTGAAAAAGGATTTGCGGTCCACACTTTGGACACCCTTGATGTGTGGGTCAATACGAAAACAGATTCTACACTAATTTAAACAATCTGTGGTTTATTATGCATATGCCTTTAAAATGTAAAGGTAGAAAGGCTACAATCACGGTTTCTGATATTGAGTAAGAATTTGGTGCCAAAGCAGCTGAAAGTCCTCCCCATCACCTGTTGACCTTGATGTGCTCGTCCATATCTTAAAATGAGATATGGACAAGGTGAGGCATCAAACACAGTGCTGCCCACAGACCCCTTATGAGGAAAACCATAAATGGACGGTGTTCCCGTGCATGGACGTGGGCAACTGGTGCTCCCTCTGGAGCCAGGCCTGGAGGTGGGGCACATTGGCGAACGTCTGTTGGTTGGCTTTTCACCCATGATACCTGGCAGGGCACAGCTCAAAGAGTCCCATTTTTCATGGGCTCATGGGCTTACCACTACCTGATGGTTAGTTTGTGTCGATGGTGGGGGAGGATGACGGTCAGACCTGGTAGGCCTAAAGATATTGTCGGGGTCTCCTGGGAACATCTGGACCTTTACTTCCCACTTCTGACAGAACTTACAAAATGGTGAGTCTGAGTGGGCCCTGTTCCATGCTTCCATTGTTGAGGTGGCCAACCAGATTTGTGGCTGCAGGGTCATCGATGCCTGTCGTGGAGGGAATCCCCAAACTCACTGGTGAACACCAGCAGTTAGGGATGGTGTCAAGCTGAAGAAAGAGTCCTATCGGGTATTTTTGTTCTGTGGGACTCCAGAGGCAGCTAATGAGTACCGGTAGTCCAAGCGAAATGTGGCCTGTGTGCTCATGGATGCAAAAAGATTAGGTGTGGGAGGGGTTCGGTGAAACCATGGAGCGAGACTTCTGTTCAGCTTCATTGAGATTCTGGTCTTTAATTGATACGCTGTAGATACGTGGGCAGAGTACTTTGAAGACCTTCTCATTCCACTGGCATGTCTTCCAGTGAAGAAGCAGAATCTGGGGACTTTGGGTTCTAGTCTCTGGTGCTGAGGTCACTGAGGTGGTCAGAAAACTCCTCAGTGGCGAGGCCCCGGGGATGGATGAGATCCTCAAAGGGTTCCTTAAAGGGCCCCTTTGAAAAATTGTTCCAAAATGAAAGTTGAACCCACGTCTTTTTTTATCTGTGAATTCAATGCCGTTCGGCGAGTCTCAAATAAAAATGTGGGCATCTTACTGAAAAAAAAATACCATTAACGGGGCATTATGGAAGTTTGACAGCCAAAACATGTATAGAAATGATAAATTTCTTCTTCATACATTCTCCTGCAATGTCCTGGTCCTGTAGAATGAGCCCTGGCATTTTTACTGTGATTGCCTGTTTTTCTGTAAAATCACAGAAAAAGAGAGATGCTCGGGTCGAGCAGGCTGCTTCATGCGCGTTCACGCTCAGGCATCGCCCGTAGCATTTGCTATCAGTAGCTTTACCAGTTGATTTACATTCCAGCCCTCACCTATGGTCACGAGCTTTGGGTAGTGACCAAAAGAATGCGATCACGGGTACAAGTGGCCAAAATGAGTTTCCTCTGCCGAGTGGCTGGGCTCTCCCTTAGAGGAAGGGTGAGAAGCTCGGTCATTAGGGAGGGGCTTGGAGTAACGAAAGAAGAAACCATCAGACTACATAAAAAAGTGTGCATTTTGTGTGTAAATCTAAAAAAGAGATGTTTTAATGTTTGTTTTGCATCTTCATTTTCTCATGATGATGTTTAAATATAATTCTTACCGTGACCTTCTTGCAGGACATCAGCCCCAGCCGGCCTTCCCCCGTCTCTATCCCAGCGAGCGCGTTATGCCACTTATTTTGACGTGGCAGTGCTGCGCTGCCTACTGCAGCCTCATTGGACAGAGGAGGGTGTGCACTGGGCATTGATGTACTACCTGCAGCGCCTGAGGCAGATCTTGGAGGAGAGACCTGAACGCAACCCAGAACCTTTGGTCACACCTCTGCCACGTCCACGCAGCAGCTCCATGGTGGCCGCCACCCCCTCACTGGTAAACACCCACAAAACTCAGGTGAGTGGAGGTTAAACTGGCCTGGAAATGTTAAGAATCCCCAAATGATGACGGAGAGGGGCATGTCAACCTTCTCTGCTGGGTTTTTCAGGATATGAGTCTGAAGTGCAACGAAGAGGGAAAATCTCTCAGTACAGAGACATTTGCAAAGGTGTCTCTGACTAACCTGCGGCGTCAGGCAGTCCCTGACCTGTCCTCTGATCTGGGCATGAACATCTTCAAAAAGGTGACTGTCTAACATCCACGATGCTAACATGGTTGCTGAAATGTTATCAAGACAGTAAAATAAATGATTAATTCCCTGCTTTAGTTTAAGAACAGGCGTGAGGACCGGGAGAGAAAGGGCTCCATCCCCTTCCACCACACAGGAAAGAAGCGCCAGCGTCGAATGGGAGTACCTTTCCTGTTACACGAGGACCACCTGGACGTCTCACCCACACGCAGTACCTTCTCCTTTGGGAGCTTCTCTGGCCTTGGAGACGAGCGGCGAGCTTTGGATCGTGGAGGCTGGCAAGCCACCATCATGGGTAGGCAGCCTAACATTTCTAATGTGTTGCTTAGCCTCCAGTTAGCTGTGGTGAGTCAGAGGATTGTGTTGGAATCTGGCTGTCAGCGAGTGAATTAGGTCAGTTCATTAACATGAGAATTTATGATGAGCTTTCACCAAGAAGAGTGATTAAAGTTCGCTCAAGACGTTGGGAGCTTTGTGGTATTATTATCTAGTGACATTTCAAAGCCATGTTCCATGTCATTTTTCACCATCAGTCAGATTTGCTCCGCTCTCTTTATGCACTTACCACAGCATTCCACTCATGTTGGACCAATGAATCGCCTTTTACCTTTTTGCCTGTTAAGCATATGGTAGTTCTATTGTATACATGAGACCACTCTTCTGTACCAGAATGGCTTCTCCTTGACTTTTTGCTTGATATGTTCGACACACTGTCTTCGGGATTGATATCATCATGACACTGAACCGTTTCACTTTTATCAGCAGCGTCAACATCATAATTCATATTAGTTTTATCACCTTCCGATGAAGTACAGGATTCCTTTAACCATACAGCAATTTTATCAATAAAAGCATCACTGGCATCTTTCTTCAAATCAAACCATTGCTGTTGCTTTTCCTGTTCTTCCACAGGAAGAGACCTTTGTGAACAACAACATGAGCTTCAGTAGCATCTTCACAGCATTTTTTAAACTTTTCCAGATTTTGTTCAACAGCACATACATTTCCTCTTGAGACCAACAGTTCATCAATTTTAGCCTTTATTTTACTTGCTTGTTTGAAACAATAATCTCGTTGCTTCTGAAATCTTTCAATCATCATTAACAACGCTTTTGGAGTCGGTTTGATTATTCTTTTTTCTCTTTCAATATTTCCTTGTTCAACTTCAGCCGTGACGCGCTGAGCACTTTCAACTTCAGCTTCAACATTACGCACGTCACTCATTTTCAGACATGTGCGCCGCGAACATCAGCGTTAATAAGGGAAGCTGAGTCACAGCATGACCACTCCAGCTTTATCTGCACAGCTCAAACAACTGATGATCTTGTCATCCTTTCTGATTCAAAACAACCACAATCGCCGCACCTTCAAGGCGACACCACGCCCACTGACGCAATGAACAGCTTCGTAGCATCAAACTTTGCAATCTGTTCCACATCCACGTGAAGACATGTAGGCTGCGATATTGTTTACATCGGTACCTCTTTGATGTCTTCGTTACCGTGCCTTCTCATCGGAATCCTCATGGAGTACAGCAGCGTCCTCGATGCCAGAGTGAGCTCCACGCTTTCCAAAAGGATCTGCGTCAGGGGCCGTGGATCTTTTATCTTATTTTCTCCAAGTGAGAGCAGGGTTTTTACTTGTGTGCTGACACTTCCTGTTGTCAGCCAGCTGGGTGAGGGCGGAGGCGGCTTCTGACGCGCTTCTATTCATAAATCAAACCTCTTTTTGTCTGTGCGTTAGTCTTGTTTATTTTCCTTTACAAGCATTAGCTGGCGTTTTACATGATGCGGTTCCAAGGATAGTAGTGCTCCCAGTTGATCATCACAAAAAGGAAGTATATCGTGCCATGGTGTCGCGAGCGGTAAAAACCGTATGCTCATCCCGCCACCCATGCGTAATCGGCTCTCTCGAAACACCTGAGGACCCACTTAAATCACATGTGACGCACCCGACACCACCACCACTGATGAAAGCCCAAACCACAAAATAAATGGCTCCTACAATGTTGGACTCAAATTTGACTCTAGAACGCTTTGGTTTATTGTGGACTTGGTGATCTCAAGGGGTTCAAACCATCAACCCTCCAACCCCGTGCTGAATGTGCTTAATGGGTAGACTTCTCCACTTTGGTCTTCTTTGTCCAAAGCACCTTGTTCCAGGAGTCTCGTGGTTCATTTATATTACACTTTAGAAAGTTAAGATGTTTTTAATGGAAATTGTTTGTATCAGGCTCCTTTTCCAGGTACTATCGTAGTTTTCCATGGGCATTCTTAGCTCAGTTTATTTCAATTCCAGGGACCAGGTCAAAAATATATTATCATGGTAGGAATTAACCCAGAAAATGGACCTGGAAACGAGGTTGTACCTTTTACTATACAGTTTGGCTTGCTTTTAGCACCCCCCTTAGTGTACTCTTTTCCTCGCTGTGCGTTTGTCTTTTTAACACCTTGATCTAACAGCTGAAATGTCTCCCTAGTCTTCATTAGTCTCTAGAGGAGCAGTTCATCCCTAAAAGAAACAAATCAGATGTGTTCATGATCTAAAACATGCAGGAAACGTGCTGGGAGCAGACTGCAGCGACAGGCATGTCAGCTCCATTTTTTTCCAAGACCAACAGACTGGACCGGCACTCTAAAGTTGCAAGTGCAAAATTCAGGCCACAGCGGGTGGTGGGGGGTCTGAGTGACACTTCAATAACCCTGTAGAGGGTCATTTTAGCACATACTGGCTCAAGAAAATGATTTTAAAATATGAAAACTTTGTAAAGTGTCTGAAAGAGTTTCACCATTTCTGAGCATGTGACTATGCCAAACATTCCCAATTTTCATGAATGCACGTGGAAGAAACTACTGGAAAGGCAACTAGTCCTTCCTGCATAGGTGAGTAAACACACAAAAGATTATTATTTATTGGTCAGTTACTTACGGTCCCAAGTCCTCTGGAGGCAGCAAGGGTGGACTGCTTACACCAGGAAGTTTTGCATTTTAAAGTGTGTTTTTAGTTTTTGAATTAAACTTTGATTCTCCAGGCAAGTTCACACGCAGAGGCAGCACAGACACTGCTGCAGATGCAGACAGCCTGAGTGCCAAACACTCTCATTCCCACCACTCCCTGCTCCGAGACATGCCCGACCACTCCAACAGCCACAGCGATAATACAGTGAAAGAAGGTGAGGGGCGCTGTTGCGAACCAAAGTTGTACAAGATTTCTACAGATTTGCACAGAGCACTGACAACACTTCTCGTTTTGTTTTTCATAGTTCGATCTCAGATCTCCACCATCACCATGGCAGCGTTCAACACAACTGTGGCTTCCTTCAACGTGGGGTATGCCGACTTTTTCACAGAACACATGAAGAAACTCTGCAACCCGGTTGCCATGCCCGAGATCCCTGCAGAGCCCCTGGCCTGCGCAAACCTGCCCCGAAGTTTCACCGACTCTTGCATAAACTACTCCTGTCCGGAGGAGGGGGAGAACATCGAGGGGACCAATAACTTTGTCCTGAAAAATGGCATGCTAGATCTCACTGTAAGTTCATTATGTTGTAAACGATCAGAGGTTAATTTGTTTAGGTGTGTGGAGGAAAGGCTCATCCTTTTTGTGATCCAGGCCATCCTGCGGGCGCTTTACGCTGTCCTCAGCCACGACATCAGCTCCCGGATCTGTGATGTGGCTCTCAACATCATCGACTGCCTCCTCCAGCTGGGTGTGGTACCCGGCATGGGCAAAAAACTGTCCAAGCCAGATAACAAAGAGAACCAAGAGGCGCGGTCTAAAGACTCGGTCAGCCAAGGTTTCGCAGGAGGAGTGCAAGGGGGTGGGTCCATTTCAGGAGATGGGGGCGGTGGAGGAGGTGGAAGTGGTGGAGGAAGTGGGCAAGGGAGCAAGGACGATGTGAAAAACAACAAGGATAACGAGAAAACGGTGCGCTCATAACTTTTTGTTGCGAGACTAAAGATTTGCTTGATGCACCATAAATCCGTTTTTTGTATGCAGGACGAGAATTCTGGTCTCAGCACTCACCGCCTGGCCTTAACCATGCTGATCAAGATAGTCAAGTCTCTGGGCTGTGCTTACGGCTGTGGTGAGGGGCACCGGGGACTGTCAGGAGATCGCCTCAGGATGCAGGTCTCTGTCCTGAATCATCATCCTCTTCAAGGAATATTCTCCCACCAATGTGCACCGCTTTGTTTCTAACTTTAGTGAAACCAGCTACAGGTTTTCATTTCAGCTCACTATTGATTTATGATGAATGTATATTAGGTCCACCGGAAGAAATAGAGCAGAGAGAGAATAAACATGTTTTTGTTTCCCAGTTTTTATATTGAAGTTGGGGAAAAAATTAAAAGGGCAAGTAAGCTTTTTGAGTTCATCCTCAAAATAATTAGATATTTCACTTTAATCTCTACATTTAATAAAGGTGTGGTTGACCGAAAAACCATTTTAAAATGTTTTTTTTCCTGATTATAATTAGTCACTATTCTGGCTGAACACTAAAATAGTCTCTTACACCTATCTCCTGCATTAGCTTCTGATAGAAAATAGACGGTGAAACTCTAGGATTAGACAATCCCGACAGATCTACGTCACACTGTCACTTAACATTCATGAACTCAACCATCTTGACTCGGGACAGGCAAGGATGTTTTAATGATTGGGAATCAGCAGCATACATCTTGGCTATTTCAAGCTAACTGTTAGCATTAGCAATTTTTTGTGTGTTTTGTGGAGATAAAGCATCAATAACGCAAGTCTAACAAAGAGTCGCGTTGCAGTTACCCAATCCAGGGCAGTCGTCCAATTATCAGAAAATGAGACTCCAAATCCTGCAGCTCTCCTGTGACGTTACAGACTGCTAAGCCAGGGGTTTGTGGGCTTTTTTGTGCCCTGAGTATTGCCTGCAAGGCATTCATTCCTACTAGAGACCATTGCATATGTATTGATTAAACGTGTAATCCAAACCTTTAACGTGCCAGTTTTTATCTCAAGGAACTTTAACATGAGCAATACATAGAGATATTTTCTCACTTTCATTTCTTTTCATTGTACATTATGACATTAATCTAAACATATTCGCTGTTGACAGAGATTTTGACATTCATCTCGACTTGTTAACAATTTTCTTAACATTTTATTTTCACAAAAATGATGAACACAATTTTTCAGAAATTGCCTTTTTTCCTATGCACTAGTGCAGTACATGGAATGAAAATACATTCTTTCCCCATTGCCCCCTCTTGATGAGTGAAAGATTTAAAGCTATGCCCAATGTCAGCTGTTTGTACAGCACCATATGAGAACATCCTTTATCTCTGCTTTTAGGCTCAAAACTGCTTGACCAACCTGTACAAACTGGACAAGGTTCAATTTCGCCAAACAATGCGCGAGTATGTGAACAAAGACTCCCTCAATAACATTGTGGACTTCCTGCATGCACTGCTGGGCTTCTGCATGGAGCCCATCACTGACAGTAAGTACGTGGCGTGTCTGAGTGGGATGCAGATTCATAAAGCATAAAACATTTGCATCTTATGACAAATGTAGAACCTGGGAGTAGTTAAACACCACTGGTGTTTGATGCTAAACCCAAAACATCACAAATAAAACCAACAATTGTTTCAGAATAATACCATTTTTTAGCGCCTATTTAAGTTAGTGAACAATGTGAAAATGAAACTTATTACTGCTTCAATCATATGTGTTTTTAATTCAATTGTTAACTTGCTAAGATTTAGTAGGTGTTGTCCAAAGTAAGAGGTTGCTTGACAACATACATGTGGAAAAACTTGATTTTCTTTTATACGAGAATGCTGAGTTAGGTTCATGTAATTCCATTATGCAGAAAATACAGCCAGCTCCTTTTGTGATGTGAGCTGATGTAGTGTAACATGCATAGTTTAATTTGGTTTTCTGTATTTTGTGACTATTATTATTATTATTATTATTATTATTATTATTATTATTATTATTATTATTATTATTATTATCATTTTATTATTATTATTATTATTATTATTATTATTATTATTATGTGCAGTAAAATTGATATTTAATTTCTCATTTGGCCTAAAAACTGAATTCTACTGGAATTGGAGAAGTTAGAACATTGGCACAATTCAAATTCTACACATTTATGACTCACTTTAAATAGTGACTCATGTTGGGTAATGAGACTCACCATCAGTGTTTGAATGTGTTGATACAAAATCCCTTCTAAGCTACTGTACTGGTGATACAAACAATGATGTAAGAACAGGCATCATCAGCATATTGGAGACATTTTACTTAAGTTTCAGCTTAAAATCTCTACTGAAATTAAAGGGTAGAAAAGGTTAGCATAAAATTCGAAAACTAGCAAAAATTGAGAATTTGTTTCATCTGTAAAAACAAAAGAAGAAGCTAACATTAGCAAAAACGATTGTTTCGTTTCAGGGTCTAATGTAAGGAAAGTAAAAAACTAATCTAAAATGAAAAAAATGTTGAAATCATGATTTTATTAAACTATGATACTATGATTTGTTTGAAAATAAACTACTTAAATGCTAATATTAGCTTTGAAAAAATTATTTAATACAAGAAATCTTATTTTAATTTTGATCATTTGGACAAAAATAGCATATATAAAATTATTTTATTTATTTACAAATTAATTTTGAAAGAATTATGTAAATATTAAATACACTTCATTTTTATACCCGAGACCACACTGGGAATTAAAAAACTGAAAAAATGCAAATAAATAAATAAATCATTACCACTGACTTTTATGAAAAATTTGAAATTTTATTTGGAAACCTTCAATAATATTAACAAATGCAAAGGGATTTTACAGTAATTGCCAAAACCTTTCTTCAGGTAAAGTTAAAGAAAGCAAAACAAACTCAGTTCACCCTAATTATAATGTATGGGAAATTTCTGGATGTCTCTAAGTTTTGAGAGAAATGTTTTTAATCTAAAAACTTTGCATATACACTAATTTTACCACTTCAGAAAGTTTTTTATGGTCAATATGTTATTTTCTGATTTTAGCTCCTTGTTCACATGTAAATTTAATTCATTTTTATTCTCTACATTCACCTCTATGGAGGTTGTTCTGAAATGTAAACACTTCTGGCTTCTGAGGTCTAAACTATGACATATTTACGTTATTAATGTGAACATTCCCAATTTTTGTTACCAGAACACATAGAAAAAATAACTGTCAACATTAGGTCAAATTAGTTTATTTAGATAATTTTGGTTAACTGTGCTTCATATCCTGTGAACTCAACTCAAACAAACACTTGTATGTAGCTGAATCTTTTTTCACTCAAAGCATTCAGCTAGCCAATGCATTCCAGAATTTTACAACATAAAAAGCTAAGATAACAGCTGAGTTTGAATCCCGCTGTCTTCTCTTGCTCTTTGACTTTGCATTCCAATGCTATTTCTGTCTATATCTGTCCCCCTCCCCCTTTACTTCTTCCACTTGCCATTGCTTGTCCATTTTTTTAGTCATCTTCCTCCTGCTTTCTTCCATCCTCCCCCTTTTTCCCCTCGCTCACTTCAATGAGTTTAATCCTGCCTTCTTTACTCACTCATCCATTCTGTACACTTGCCAATCCAAAGCTTTACCCCATTACATTGCTGCTCAGTCGGTGGCTTTTATCTTAGAGCATCTATTTTACATAGCAATTTCAGTTCTGCTCTGAAATCCTAAGTATTTTGTCATTTGGAGCTGCAGCCGACAATCATGTCCAACAAAATGTTGTGCATTTGGCAAGTTACTGAACTGATGAGTGTTTTGCAGATGAAAGTGAACAGGGCACCTCTTATTTTGTTTTTGATTTGATTAGATTTTTTTCGCTATGTTTGTTCTCTTGGGGTTCACCTCTTTGCGGAGGTGGGGTGCCATGATCCTTTCTGAGACCACCTACATGTCTGTGCTGGCCTGATGTCAACCAACCTGTGCCCCGCCTCTTTTCTCTTGCAGAGTACGGCAGTGCAGGTGAGAGGTCCAGGAGGGCGAAAAAAAGAAACATCGGTAGATACACATGATCAGTAACTAATAACAGTCAATACTATAAGCAATACGATGACTCTACTCACCCGATCAGACCCTTCCCTAGGCACCGCTTTCATTGCTGCACCCCTCACTCTGTTCGAAAGTGACAAAATCACCTGCAACATCTAAATTTACAGTTGTTCAATCTGGGTTTCTTAAAAAAGCAACTTTTTTTTAGATAACTGGACCAAGAATATCAGCCCCTAATTCTGTTACTAAAGCATGCCTTAGTCCTTTGCATGTAATCCTTAATCCCAGAATCCTTTTATGTTTGCTTCTTCCCCCATTTGCTCTATGATCCCCCTTTCCTTTGCCCCCATATCACTTCCTGTTGTACGGGCTCGCTACTGAAACTGGTCAGCTGTCAGTATTGTCGCCCACCCCACCTCCCTTCACCCCACTCCTACATCCCCAATGACTAAACTGCCTCCTGTATCATCCGTGGTCTCTCCTGCCTCCCTGCTGCTTCCAGACAAGGCGGGCTTTGGCAACAACTTCGCCACAGGGGACAACAAGTCTCTGGCCCAGAACATGGAGGCGGTGGTGGTGGGCTGCATGTTCAAGTCTCTCATCACCCGCTGCGCCTCAACCACACATGAGCTGCACAGCCCCGAGAATCTGGTGAGTGGTTCCCCTGACTTGATCTTGCTGTTTTATTTAGCAAAAAAGAAGTACCAGTGTAGGTGCCAGGTTAGTTTGGGGACCTGCGCCTGCGAATCATGTTACACTACATGCCTGGAATGTTGGCGTGTTCAAGAAGAAGATTTTCATTGGGATGAATAAATTACAGAAGTTACGTTGATATGCTAATATAGAAGATTTGGGGTGGTGCGGACAATTTTTGGGACCAGACCCCTGCCCTGTGTGCAAGAGCACTCAGCAAGCACTTGTGTTGATGGGGCTCAGCACTGGCCCTATCAGTGAGGCGGGGTACTGCCTTCTAACCCCAATGCATTTTCACTGCAAATTTATGTCTCCTCAAAAAGACTAAAATTGTCACACATACGCCATCCGTCCATCCATTTTCAGTCACTTATGTGGAGTTGGGTCGCGGGGGAAGCAACCCATGCAGAGAGGCCCAGACCACCCTCTCCCCAGCTACTTGGGTAAGCTCCTTGGGGGGAATCCCAAGGCATTTCGGGGCCAGCCGAGGGATATAACCATAGAAACATTACTCTGTGTGTGTGTGTGTGTGTGTGTGTGTGTGTGTGTGTGTGTGTGTGTGTGTGTGTGTGTGTGTGTGTGTGTGTGTGTGTGTGTGTGTGTGTGTGTGTGTGTGTGTGTGTGTGTGTGTGTGTGTGTGTGTGTGTGTGTGTGTGTGTGTGTGTGTGTGTGTGTCGGCTCTGTCTTCTCGATCCCCAGTGAGTCGTGGAGGATAGCTGTTTATACTGAACCAGGATCCTCTGGAGGTTTCTTCCTGTTAAGAGGGAGTTTTCCTCTCCACTGTTGCTGCATGCTTGCTTAGTACCAGGATTGCTGTAAAGTCACTGACACTAGTCAGTGACTTGATGCAGTTTGCTGGGTTCCTTATATAGGAAACTTTTTTCTTATTGGCTTAATGAATTGACCTGTATTGTAATGTTTACTGTGTGAAGTGCCTTGAGACGACTCTTGTCGTGATTTGGCGCTGGACTTGAAAATTGAATTGAATACAGTATAGTTCCTCCAACGTGTCTTGGGTTTCCCTTAGGTCTCCTCCCAGTTGTACATGCCCAGAAAGCCTCACCAGTTAGGTGTCCAGGGAACATCCTGACCACATGCCTGAGCCACCTCAACTTGCTCCTCTTGACTTGGTGGAGCAGCGGGCCTACTCCTAGCCCCTCCCGGATGACCAAGCTTCACACCCTATCTCTAATGGAGAGCCCATCCACCCTGTGGAGACAACTCATTTTGACCGCTTGTATATGCAGTCTCATTCTTTCAGTCTCTACCCAAAGCTCGTGACCATAAGTCAGGGTAGGAACGTAGATCGACCGGTAAATCAAGAGGTTTGCCTTCCGGCTCAGCAATGCCCGCAGTGCTGCAGATACAGCACCAATCCGCCTATCGATCTCATGGTCTTTCCCTCACTCATGAACGAGACCCTGAGATACTTGAACTCCGCCACTTGAGGCAGGACCTCATCCCTGACCCAGAGAAGACATTCTACCCTTTTCCAATTCAGGACCATTGTCTCAAATTTAGAAGAGCTGATTCTCATCCCAGCTGCTTTACACTCGGCTGAGAATCGCTCCAGCTAAAGCTGGAGATCACTGTCAGCTGAAACCACCAAGGCCACATCATCTGCAAAAAGCAGAGACCTGATATTTTGGCCTTGTAAAGAGATTCCCTTAACATCTTGGCTGCTGTCCATAAAAGTTAAGAATGTGTGATAAAGGACAGTCTTGATGAAATCCAACTTTCTCCGGAAACAAGCTCGACTTACTGCCGGCAATGCGGACCAAGCTCCAACACTGGTCATACAGGGCTTGGTACTACATATTCTAGGAGTACCCACTAGAGGGGACCCAGAGGGACACAGGTCGAAGGCCTTCTCTAAATCCACAAAACATATTTAGATTAGTGGGGCGAACTCCCACACACCCTCCTGGATCCACCTAAGGGTGTAGAGCTGGTCCAGTGTTCCACGGCCAGGACAAAAACCATATTTTTCCTCCTGAATCCAAGGTTCAACAATCCGATGGACTCTCCTCCCCAGAACCCCTAAATAGACCTTACCAGGGAGGCTCAGAAGTGTGTTCCCTCTGTAGCTGGAACACACCTTGCGGTTACCCTTTTTAAATAGAGGGACTACCACCCCCTACCGCCCAAGAATGAGATTGCAGATACAAGTGGCCAAAATTAGTTTTCTCTGCACGGTGGCTGGGCTTTCCCTTAGAGATAGGGTGAGAAGCTCGGTCAACCGGGAGGGGCTCGTAGTAAACCCGCTGTACCTCCACATCGGGAGGAGCCAGTTGACGTGGCTCGGGCATCTAGTTAGAATGCCTCCTGGACGCCTCCCTGATGAGGTTTTCTGAGTATATCCAAGTTGAAGAAGACCTAAAGGTACACCCAGGACATGCTTGAGATACTATGTCTCATGGCTGGCCAGGGAATGCCTTAGAGTTCACCCAGAGGAGCTGGCCCAAGTGGTTGGGGAGAAGGAAGTCAGGACCCCCCTGCTTAGGCTACTGCCCCTGCGACCCGATTCAGGATAAGCAGCTAAAAATGAATGGATGGATGGATCACCACCCCAGTCTGTCAATCCAGTGAAACCTTCCTCAATGTCCATGCACTATTGCAGAGCTGTGTCAACCAACACGGCCCCACAACGATCAGAGCCTTAACACATTCACTGCCAGCCGTTTCCTGATCAGAAAAGTCCTTCGCTGCCAGCGTTTTTCAGCATTTTCAGTTTTTTTAAGAGTCACAGAACATTGCACTCTATGATAATGCCAATGCCAAAGCTACCAAAACAAAGATGAGACTCACCTCTTACATCAGGAAGAATCCGCGCGTTTCGAGCGTTATCCATTCTTTCATAATCCGTTGTCGAATTGTGATCGGCAAACGTTTTTCCGGTCCGCGCCTCACATGTTTTTTTACAGCAGCGGCCCAAAACGATCTCCTAACACATTCTTTTCTTCCTGATCACGTGATGTGTGACATGTGGTGAGCTGGGATGTTTGTTCTCCCGGTGCGGGGGCTTGTTCCGATGCCCACACAGTAAAAACATGCAAATGACAACTTTAGTCGTCAATGGCAGTTAATGAGTTAAGGAACTCGGGGCAGATCTCATCCACCACCGAGGCCTTGCCACCAAGGAGTTTTTTGACCACCTCAGTAACCTCGGTTCCAGAGACTGAAGAGTCACACATGCAGTGTTAAGGATTGGCCACATATGTATTATATGATCAATAAGATGTGATAATTCCATTTAAATATGAAAACGCAATCTGATTAACCTTTGAATATTTAATCAGAAGACTTTAGTTCTTTTACTTACTCAGGGACCATGCACACTTCATATTAATTCAGATGGAGTCAAGTAAGTAATTTATGAAAATGATTTTATTTCTGTTTTCCTAAACTAATGATTATACAAAACAAGGTATGAATGAAATGATGGAATGGAAGCTAGATGTTTTAGCAAAACCTTTCTTAAGTATCTGAGAGAGTTTGTGGAGTCTGGGTTGTAAAATCAATTTGGCTGTATAGTTTTATAATCTAAACAAAACACCATCCGACACAATTTGTGCCGAGTCTACACACCCTTGTAGAAGAACCCCAAGCAATCCAGGTGGTCAGGAGGTTGAGATGGACACTGCTGATGGCGTGGACCTCTGGTATTGGAGCTTGTAGCTGGCTCAGATTTCGACCCGTCTAGTCTGGGTAATCTTCCAGGGGGCAGCAGGAAGCTGGAGTGCTTGTTGTGCATCTAAGGCTGTTTGATGGCTCTTAAAAGAGCCATTGTGTCAGTAATCACACACAAATGTTACAGAGAGGCTTTGAACTTGATGTCAAAAGATACAGTAGGATGGTCTCAAAATGCTTGTTCAACGATTTGTTCGGACCGGGAGGCAGCTAGAAACTAACTAGATCAGGAAACCATTCGGTTTTATCAACTCTTATTGATGAATTTGGCAAATCAGGATTTGACATGTTTAAAAACATTACCAAAATTACCTAAAAAAGTCACGCCTTCGGTCAGATACTCAGAGAATTTAACTCTTCGTGTGAAGTGAGAATGTTTTTAAACATTTATTCGAAGTGAATGTTAAAACCTTAACATTAACCTTATGATGTCTGAGTATAATGATAGATTAACTTAAATCAACAAATACTGATCTGGTGTAGTTTAAGATCTGAAAGGAATCATCGCAGGAAAAAAACTAATTTTAGCACATCCTTGATTAAATGCACAGATTATTCAAACATTTTAGGATTCCAACATCTCATTCATTCGACACATTTGATTATATAAACTTATAAGTTGTAAATTCATTTATTTATTGATTCAAGGAGGATGAACTTTACTCGGAGTGAAAATGCAGGCATCTCCGCATTGGGTTTTGAGCAAAGATATGATGGCTTCCTTGGTCTGTTGCACGTTGCACATCCCTGTTTATCTTTCTTGAAGGCCAGACAGCAGTAATGTGTCCCTGGATGAGTGATGCAGTTTGTGGCTGCAAATTAAAAGTTAATTTCTGTTCATTTCGATGAAAAACGTGACCATTGGTACGCTACATACATAGTCATTGAACATATATTAGACAGACTGTAGTAATGCATAGACTGCATAATGTGGAATAAAACATGTATGTTGGCAATATAAAGACAGTCAGCAGTTTGTTGTTTCAGTCCGTGTGTGTGGTGCTGCACAATGAGAACGTTGTGGCGTCACACACACTTTATACAGGGAGTTGGCACATGCGCTCTGCCTGAATCAGCTAGTGTGTACGGGGCAGCTCAGAGAGAGCAGAGCCAGGCTCGTTTCTTTCTCCACTGGTGTTTCTGACATGTATTTGTTCAGGAAATGTGTAATTTCATTGGGAGTAAGTTATCTCAGGGTTCAAAGAGATTAAGTTACTGGAACATAAATTTTGCTGGTTGTTGGAGGTGATGAGTAATTAAGCAAAGATATGACGGGGTTCTACCGATGATTGTTTTGTATATAAATTGATACTGATGTAACAGCCTGTGGGAATGGAGTGATGGCCAGTTAACGAGTGAGTACAGATCACAATGATGAGTAGTGAAAGGGGCACCAGTGACAAACGGATTGCTGAGTGATAAATGACATCGAGTTCATGAAGACGTTTTTTAGAAGCAGTCCTACAAAGGATGTCACCGTAATCTAAGATGTAAAGAACTGTCATTTTGACCAGGGTTTGCTTTGCAGAATGAGTAAAGGATGACCTGTTGCTGTATAGAAACACAATTCTTGACTTGACTTTAGAAAGTAATGAATTAATGTGAACGTCAAATGAAAGTGCTGCCAAGCCAGATACCCAAATACTTACAGGAACTGAAAAGTTGTAGTTCTGTACCATCCAGGGAAACAATACTAGGGTGGAAAGTTGTTGCGGTATGTTACGGTTGAAGGTCATGAACTTAGTTTTACTTGTGTTTAAACGAAGAAGAAGGTTGGAGAAGGCATGTTGAAGATGTTGTGCTGCAAGGACAAAGCTGCCTTCAAAGAAGAACTACATGAATTTAAAATTGTGTCGTTTGCATATAAATGTATATGAGAACTGTCAACATGAACACATAATACGTGTATCATATCATTAATATGATTTTGAATAAGGTTGGGCCGAGTATGGACACTTGAGGAACGCCCATAAATAGAGGTTGAGGAGGATGGATAACCCTGATGTCTCCAGCTGTCTTCTGCTGCTTATTCATGACGATAATGTCTGGTTGGTTTCACTAGTACCATCTTGTCCGTTTGAATTTGGAAGTCCCACGTTTTTGTTACTAACTCATCTTACTAAACATTTATTCCTCAGTAGGGGCACAGAGATTAATTGCCTAATGCCAGTACTCATTAGTGGAGAGGTGAGGGACTCCCTGTACATGTCTCCAGTCCAACACAGGGACAAACTGAAACAGACAACCAGTCACACACTTACATGGAGAGACAATTTACAGTCACCAATTTACCTGACATTGATTGCTGCAATCTGCGACATTAATCTGGAGCCTGAAAACATGGAGATTTGAACCTGCAACTTCTTTGCTGCAAGGCAAAGGTGCTACCAACTACAATCTGAAACATTATGAGGGTAATCACCTTTTGTATGATGGTGAAAAACCCTATAGGGAAATAAAAATCCACCATGGCTCTTTAGAGTTATAGCTGCTAGGCTAAAGATGGACTGTTAGATCCCTGATTTTCTCTGAAACCAAGCAAGCATGCCCGTTTGGGCCCACCATGTGCTTTTGTGGGCTGTGTCTGAGGTAGTGTGGACAGGACAAACCCACATACCCCAGAGTTCACCCACAAGGGTCTTGTGTATAGTTCAGAATGGGGCCCATAATTTTTTTAGGTTAAATTACAGTCCCAGTCAAGGCTAACTTCCCCATGCTGGATGCAAATGGCAGCATTGGCCAATTAGTAGATTAACATCAATGATAGTGTGTGAATGTGTGAGTGCAAAAAACACTGAAAAGCACTTCAGGTACCTTGAAAAGTGCTATCTACTCATCAATATTTTTATGTTTATCAAATGGTAAATGGTGGGAAACCCACACATGCCAGGGGACCACTGTGACATGCAGGTCACTTGAGGACCCCACAAAGGGGCCACATTGGGGCCACAATGGTAAGCCCACATGTGCAGGTCAGGGTACCGTTGTGAAATGTGGGGCACATGAGGGCCTTATGGAGAGGGGCCATAATGGGGCCACAGGGTGCAGCTCACATATGTGGGCCAAGCCCTGTTGGCTCCAAATGATGGGGCCCACATGTGCCCTAAATTTCACGATGACTGTGGGCAACCCTTCATGGGCCACATTTGCCCAAACGGGCATACTTTCACTCAGCTTCTCAGTTTTACATGATGCAATCTGAATATATTTGTATTCTAAGCAACAATGTGCAATGGCTTCATGAATAAACTTGTGTGACTCGTCTTCCTCCTGTGCAGAAGAATATTCCTCCAGCTGGGATTTGGCCAGAAGATGACACACTGCTTTATCTTCTTCCCTGCAGCAGGTTTTATTATTCTAAGAATAAAAAGGCCACCCTCTCACAAGCTGGGGCCGGTGCTTAAAATCATTCCAGTGCTGTACCCCATCCATGGCAGCAGTTTGCTGTCAGGTCCCTGACACAGTTCCTGTCTTCACACACACACACACACACACACACACACACACACACACACACACACACACACACACACACACACACACACACACACACACACACGCACGCACGCACGCACGCACGCACGCACACACACACACACACCTACTCACACGTCTCTTACTTTCACTCCTACTTTGCAGGGTCTATACTGTGACATCCGCCAGCTGGTCCAGTTTATCAAAGAGGCTCATGGAAACGTGTTCCGCAGGGTGGCACTGAGCGCGCTCCTGGACAGCGCCGAGAAAGTCACGACCACCAAGAAACCTGATGAGAGGGATGAAAACAAACAGCTTGGACCTCGGAGGTAGTGGCCTAATCGGCTTATTTGTTTCTTCTAATTAAAGATGAATCGAATCCGACCGATGCTTCTCATCGCTGCTTGAATTTCTTTTTCTCATGTTTTTTTTCTGTTAACATCTGTTGTTTTCACATGGGTGAATGTTGAGTATTTTCACATTAATATGGCTCATGCACACCGTGTGCACCATATTATGTGATTGCACACACGTATACAAGTTATGACGCTGTACGAAGGACTGAAGCCAAAGAACCAACATGGGAAACTACTTTGGAAGATTGTATTTTCACAACATATAATAGATATAAAAGTTATTTATCTAATTCTAGTTTTCCCTCAATTTGTCCCAAATTGGTGAATTTTATCATCAAATTTACCCTTTACAGGGCACCCATTGAAGTAGTTTAAATTTTAAAATTTCAATCCCCGGGCATTATTATGCTATATAACAAATGTAATCCTTGGCCGTTGCAATTTTCAAAAATATTTATTTTCATGCAGAAAATCTGAGAAAACGACGTGATCAAATGTGGATGTTGGCCCATTTTTGGTAAAATAAATCCCAAAATAAAAACCATGAACATAACATTTATTTTTGAATAATATAGATAATTATAAGACCAAATTAGATCTCTGTAGAATAATACAGAATATTTTTTGAAAAGTAATTGAATAGATACTATTTCTGATCAAATATAGTTTACTAGAATATTTTAGAATTATATAAATTTAAGGATCTTCCTTCCCTTCATCATCACTAATGACGAGATTTGCAGACACAACTGTCCACCTCCATTTTCCATAGAAATCCTAATTTAAATATGCAAAATACATTAAACATTTAATTATTATTACTGATACCATGATTATTAAGATTACGTCTAAAACACAACTGATTTTACCTAAAAAAAATTAAGAATTTCTTTTACTTGTTCAGGACGTTTGTTCAAATATGGCAGCTTTTATTTTCATGCTATGATTTCGCCAACTTTATTGAGTTTAACATTGACAACATATATATCCTTATTTAGTACGACTAGTCAACATTGTGGTGTGAGAGTTTCATAAACCTAGCTTTGTCAGTTTTAGAGATCTGACCGTAAACACGAAAGGAGGCTGAGCTGTTTTCGCGTGAACTGTGACTAGCTTGATCTCTTGTGATTGGTTGGGTGAAAAGTCATAATGAAATGGTACACCAGCATAATTTATGATGCACACCAATAAAAGCAAAGAAACCAGTTTGTCCACAAATGTTTTGAAAAAGTCAACTGAAACCCCATCTGGGCCTGGTGTCTTATCATTGTGCATGATCTTCATTGCACGTATAAGCTCATCTAACCTAAGAGGCGGATCTAACTACACAGCTACATGTCCAAAAGAGTGTACAAAAGCAAATCCACTTGGGAGAGATTAGTCGTAGATCCAGAAGCATATAAAGTGGAATAATAATTCTCAAACACCTCATTCGCCTCCTTAGGATCAGAGACTAAATTGTTCTCTATTCTCTTGACCTGACATATGTTTACAATAATAGCTTACTGCCTATGTGTATATACATGTAACTTTATTATTATATTTCCTCAAATTATTCTCTTAAGAGTTGGTGAATTTCCTCAATCAGCAATCAATCAATCAATCAATCAATCAACCAATCAATCAACCAATCAATCAACCAATCAATCAACCAATCAATCAATCAATCACTCAATCAATCAACCAATCAATCAATCAATCAATCAATCAATCATCAATCAATCATCAATAATCAATAATAAATCAATCAATCATCAATAATCAATCAATCAATCAATCAATCAAATCAAAGATACTTTATTAATCCCAGAGGGAAACTAGAGTTTCAGTACACACAATTCAGAGATCAGACATACATAGGCAAGACACATGACAAGAATTGGTGACTGTGGTCATTCACAACCCTGAGTCGTGCTACCTTAATAGAGATAAGAGGGTTACATGAGGATTGGTTCAGGTGGAGGGGAAAAAAGGCACTTCAGAGTTACCCTCTGCAAAAAAACACCTCAGACAGACAGATATGCAACAGACTTCGGACAACACAACATAAGTGTCCACTAGGTGGGGTGGTAGGTTGGGACTATCCCCACTTCAGTTCCTGCAGCCACGATAGAAGCAGCGCATGTCACCTCAGTGTGGATAGTGGGGGGGGGGGGGGGGGGGGGAGCATCGAGGGTTGGAGGGTTGCAGTGACCCTGGATGCTTCAGCGGCCTTTCCGCAGTCCCGCCCAGGCTGGGAAAGGAGGTAGAGTTCAGTTGCCATAGCGACGGTACATTCCACATATCTTCTGAGGGGGAGTTTTCATTGGAGCCTTGCAGGCTCAGGGACGCCAGTTTCCAAATAGAAATTGTTTTGGGGCCAGACAGAGATAATTTCCTCTCTGTCTTACAGTTTGTTGGTCCTCAACCTCTCAAAATCCCAATAATAATGGGGATATCCCAATGTGGGATAAATAAATAAATTCTATTCTATTCTATTCTATTCTATTCTATTCTATTCTATTCTATATCAATCGAGAGGAAGCTTGAAGTTTCAATTGGAGGGTCAAGAGTCTACTCAGTTTATCTCCATACTCATAATGCGTTGTGTGTGCACGAAGTTACAGTCGTTCAGCATCTGCAGTAGAGAGTTAATCAAATTCGGTCTGCTAATTAAGTAATCTTTTATGTAAATCGGGAGTGGGATTAGTTGTTCTTGTCGATCGCAAATTTGTGTCATCAAATTTTGGAGTTTGGCGTTGTTATCTTTACTAGAATGGGCAGAGAAAGAAATTATTTGGCCGCGCACGTATGCTTTAAAAGTTTTCCATAAAAACGAGCTTGCGGTAATGTCATTGTCAGTAAATGTTATAAAGTTGTCGAATGTGGACTTCTACTAAAACGTTTGTCTGTGAAACTCAGATTATCAAATTTGGTGCAAACACATTGACCAAAAGAGCAGGAACATTATGCATGTTATCTACAACAATAGCCCTCCCTTTCCAAGTCAGAAAACTGATATCAGCGTCTCCTGAGGATTGATCCAAAGTAAACAAAGATGAAATGACAAAAATGCTGAAATCACCCTCCCCATCTCCATCCCCCCAAAGAAGACAAAAGCCCCTTTCAGAAGATACACATGCCGGCAAAGCAGCATAATACTGCTGCCATGGTGTGTCTTATGAACGCGCCATGGCGGCAAGGCGTCACAGGAATTTTGTGGCATTTGTGCCGCCAAGCTTGGTAGTAATATTGCTGCAACGCCGGACTTGTGAATGCATATTAGGCCTTGGTGCAAAAGAGGGAGGTGTCACGATCACATGGGGAGTTACTGCCAAGCTCCGGCCAGCAACCATATTGAAACTGAAAGTAAAAACTGGCTGTAAGTTTCACTTTTGTAAACAGAATCAGCTGAGGTAATAAACTGGAGCGATGCAGCACTCCTGAAGCTCCTCTCTGTTAGAGATGGAGATCAGCTCACCAGAGACTGCACAGGGACTGTGGAGAAAAGACACCATTAGGAGTGGCTTGGTAAAAAACTTAATGAGCATGGCTTTGATCACAACAAAAATCAAATTATGTCTAAAATAAACAGAAATCCGCGGCAGCGCAAAGACCACCCCATACCGCCTTTATACCGCCACCTCGCAATCTTTTGTAAAAAAAGGACACGATTGCACAACATTACCACCTAACCCTAACCCTACCACCAATGTCTGACCACCTATAACCCTACCACCAATGTCTGACCACCTATAAACAATCTGAGGCTCCCCATTGCCGGCATTACGTTGTGGCAATTTGGCAGCGTTGTTTTCTAAAAGAGGCTATTTCAGAAAATAATAAAAAGGGTGCGTAATCACAGACAAGTACAAAACAAATCAACAACACCAAAGCAATTCTTAGGTAACAGCAAAGAAAAAAACATCAGCAAATAGTCCTCTGAAAAATAGCCATAAATTTTACTCACCACAATAGTTTTTTGATCTGAGACCAGCTTGGCTCCAGATAAAAGAACACCAACACAAACTGTGTCTCTATTTTGGAACCATCATTTTGAAATATTCCTCAGCGTCTCTTGGTGAGATGAAATCACGTTGCACTCCTTGGTACGTGATGCAAAGCTTAGCCAGATGAAAGACACCAAACCTGGCTTCTTCAATGCTTCGAAGTTGATGAAGAGTGTCGTTGAAAGCTGCACAAGCCCGGGCTATCTTGGCAGTGTGGTCAGGGAAGACAGAGATGTTGAGATTGCGTATCTGTAATTGTCGCAGCTCCCTGGCTTTCTGAAGAATCTTGGCAGTGTCCATGTAGTAATGTAACCGAACGATCATGACGGGGGTCGTTCCCCGGGGGCAGGTCTGAGAGCCAATGACAAATCTGTGCACCAGTGGTTCCTTCTCAAGGCGAAATGCCACCAGTAAGAGTGCAGGCGCTTCCGCAGCAGTTAAAATGTTGCCTTTCATCAGCCCGATGATGCTTATGTTATTACGGCGGGACCTGGATTCCAAATCCTTGCATTTGTTGTCCAACGCAGCCATCTCCTTTGACATGGCATCCATTTTAGCTAGGAGATAAACAGTATCATCCATACATGTGGAAAGAGACTGATCCATTTCTGCTACCTTGTCTTTAAGTCTCATAAAGTCCGCTCGCATGGCTGAAATATTCCAGGACAGGTCCGTTTTAGTGTCTGTATGTCAGACCTGATAGAAATGAGGTTCTCTGCAAGCGCCGCCGACAGCCCCCTCCCGAATGTTTTACCAGCTTTTCACAACACCATTAGTGTCCAAAGCTAATTCCAACAGGTTCCAGTCCAGAAGCGCAACAAAAATGCACCTAAAAACATCAAATACTCAGACTCTGCAGGAGCGACGGTTGATGCGACCTACGCCATCTGGCGTCGAATCAGAAGTCATTACATCTAAATATATAATCTAAATATCAAATGAGGTCGTTTAAGCTAAACATTCAACTAATGTGCAACTTGAGACTATTGTAAAATTTTACTCACCCTCCAAAACCGAGAGCAGGGTGGAGAGATCCCCTATCTAAGAACTCAAGAGTCCCTATAATACAATAATGGTAGTTTGAAGTCTTTCAACCATAGCTTTGTTATCAGTGTTCATGTCTGAGTTCTATCTTCTTACTGGACTCCATAAGCTAACCACCACAGGGACTCTGAGGCGTTAGATAAGGGATCTCTTCGCCCAGCTTCCGGTTTTGGTATGATGGTTCCATTTACGCTGGTCAGACTCTTGGATTTCGATAGTCTTGACCGCCACACCACTGATGCACAGTTTGTGAGTGAGTGTGTGTGTGTGTGTGTGTGCAGGTCTGAGGTGGGTGTGTCCGGGGAGAAGGGTCAGGTGTCCAGTGCTGCAGATGAGTGTCGCAGCTGCATCTCCAGTAGACTCCCCCAGACCCCCGAACAGTGAGTGACCACCTCCCAGCATGCATCATAAAACATTCTCCATGTTTAGCTCTCAGCTGTCATTCTGCTCACATTTAGTTCCAACCTCTTCCTGTCCCCTTCTTTTAAATGTCACCCGCAAAAACATACAACCCTTCCTTCCCTCCCTCTTTGTACCACCAGTGACGAACAGATCCCGGGTGCTCTTCTTGGCAGGAAGGACTTTTGGAGGAAAATGTTCAAGTCGCAGAGCGCCGCCAGTGACACCAGCAGCCAGTCGGAGCAAGACACCTCAGAGTGCACCACCGCTCACTCCGGCACCACTACAGACCGCCGCTCACGATCCAGATCCAGACGCATTTCACTACGCAAGAAACTGAAACTCCCAATAGGTGAATATTTAGACTGGTATTTCTACTTATGTTGATTAATTCTTCATAGTCAGCAACATTAAACATCCTCATGACCACATCTTGCCCTGACTTGTTGTGTATTCCTGCCTACCAAGAGGTCAGGTCTCTTCATCACTTTGGTCTGTTCTGTGTTCCCCTCTTGTCCCTCAGCGTGCCGTGGGACCGCCCGCCTTCCACTCACTCGCTCTGTCCTGCGTATGTGGATATCAAAACCATCTTCATGCAGTATTTGTGTCCTGTCATGTTTGTTCACCCTGTGTGCATTCCCAGTTTTCGAGTTAGTGCCAGATGAAGTCTTTTAATCCGGTGGTCTTGTTTAAAAACTTTTTCTGCAAACCAACATCTTCATTTCAACAGGCATTGCTTGTAACCTTCTTTATTAATGTCTAATTGGTGTTTTTAACAGCAGAATTGTTTGTCTTGATTTAGGCAGAGTAAAAGAGATGTTAACTCTTTATGATGAAAGTGACAATTTGATAGCTCGAAGCTTAAAATCTTGACTTCTAGCCCAAGGCCTGGAAAATACTTACTGATTAACGAATCGTACATGTGTTTAACCCTCCCACTCTCTTCATGGGTGACCCCGCAAAGAAAGTTGACCATTGAGCAGGATTGATGTTTATCCCTTGAGGTCCACGTGGCAGGGGTGAGGTGGTGCTCACTCCTCACCCCTGCCACGGTTAAAAGGGCTGCCTCACCTAACTTGCGTTGCTTTGAAGCGTCGTTTGTGTGCGTCCCCTGAAATTGACGTTTGCGTGCTACAGTGGACAGGTAGGTGGAGTTGGCAAAACAAAGTGAGACACACTCACCATGGTGACACTGTCTCTGGTTTAGACGTTGTTTGTTGCGTCTACGATACCGCTGCTGTCTTTTTCTGTGGTGATCTCAAAATTAACCAGTTACTGATCTTTTCTATGACACCATGTTTGTTTTGGTTATATTCTACAAGCTTGGGACTCTATATGGTCTGAGTGCTCTACTGTGCCCCCTAGTGAAACACTCCAATACTGTGTGCAGTGCAGCAGTATGTGAACAAAGCCTGCTGCTTGTGTCAATGCGAGGTTAAAAAGCAAGTATATTCCAGGCCTAAGCTTGAAAGAGTTTTTGAGTTGAAAAACTAACAACTAAAGATTAAAACGTATTATTTTGGTTAAGTTTGAAAAGTCCTAAAAGGGGAAAAGTCCTAAAAGCTCCCACTAACGCTCAATGGTTGGACCTTTAAAGTCCCTTTAAACAGCTACAGTAGATACAACAGTCACATTTTTATTGGAAAGCAGTTATTTTTTCTAGCTTCTATTAGAATAAGGAAAGTAAGTCAACAATAGAAATCAGAACCCGAGTTTTGCCAGATGGATCCAAACATTAGAAATTATTTTAATCTGAACTTAGACTGGAACGTCTCAAACTGTATCATGAGAAATTTTCATTTTTGAAAATTCTAACTATAAAATTAAACAAAAATCTACAAATCAGAGGCAACACCTTGGGTTGTTTTAAGGAACATAAATCCCATCAGGAAGATCACTTGATGTTTTGCCTGCCTTTATCATTTATGTTTCCTGACTCAACAGTTCATCGGTTTTAGTACTTAAAGTGACAGTGTGTAGTTTCCCTGGTGATAGGGGGCAGTACATACCTGAATCACCGCAAGCAAGCATTATTTTTGTGTTCAAATAAGACCTTACCAACAGATGGCTATTAGGGTCGAAAATCTCTGGGAGTGCAACCTCCAGCAAAATAACAAGAACATCAGATTCCCTTTCATCACTGGCAATGAGTGAAGAGGTAAATGTGTAAAACATCAATGTTTATTAATGCTAAAAGTTTTGTAACCATTTGTTACAAATGAGTAAATGCATTCTGCCCTCACAGACTTCCGTAGAAGGAAACATGGCATCCAATATGGCGTCGCCCCGAGTCTTAGACCCGCTCCATGTATGTTAGAACAGATTTTTACGGTTATATGTTATTAAACTGCCAATATTTTTCAACAACTGGGCCTCTTTTAATTAATTTACTACATTATTTCAATGAATATTTCCAGAGATTAGAGGTAAAACTACACATTGTCACTTTAATCTGGTGTTATACTATCAAACACAAAACGAAAGACTCAGCCATGGCTTTATAGATCAATACAGAAAGAGCTTTTGTTGTCTAATTTGTTTGTTTGTATCCTAAGAACTATGTTTGGTAACATGTGTCCTGTGTCTGACCCTGCATGCTCACTAAATGTTAGATGCATTCATAAATGTATGTATTCTATAATTTCAAGTGTTTTGGTTCCTGAATTTCCCAGGAAATTGGTTGAAACGTTCGTCCCTGTCTGGACTGACTGATGGTGTTGAGGACCTGCTGGATATCAGCTCAGTGGATCGACTCTCTTTCATCCGTCAGAGTTCAAAGGTCAGCTCCCATAACACACTGTGGAAAGGGTCTACAGAAACAATTGTGATGAATTGCAAACAGAACCAGAAAATGCCAGGAGAAATTTGGAAGGGGCTTGCCAGCTGCAGCATGAGATTGTATGGTGCAGAAGAATGGTGTGGCATCACCCAGCTGCAGCGCTAGGAACGGGACAGGAGTGTGATCAAATGGAACGAAATAATCTGCACTTTTTCCCCATGTCTTTCAGCGGCAGGCCCCTAACTGAAAACATTTTCAAGGAACTTTGAAACTGGGATTTTCCAACCTGGTGGGGGGCAGAAAGGTTGAGAGACAGGCTGATGTGGCATTCTGCTAATTCCTGAAACAAGCACATCTGAGCTTTTCCCCCTTACAAGGCATTCATTCCTACTGGAGACCACCACAAATGTGTTGATTGAACAAGCATTCCACAACATTAAGTTACCTCTGTTTAGGTCTTCAGACCCGTAGAATGACTATGACTGAATCTATGATTTACTTTAATACCAGAAGCCATTATATCAGTGCTTCACAATTAGTGGGGTGTGCCCGATGCGCTCAAGGGTATGCCACAATAGCCTGGGTGTACTAATCAGACACCGGCTTATAATATGGCACTTTTGCAATGTTTGTTCCCAGCAGGTCACTGAGATCATGTGATCAAAGCCTGTTGGCTGTGCCTTGCACAAGGCTAAAAACCAGATGTCAAGGGACCTCTCAGCGGCAACACCAACAACTTTCCCCCTTCTTTGAAGGTGGCCAACTCGGTTGAGGTTTAAAAACAGTGAAAAACATATAGATTAAAAATAGCTTTTGCCTTAGCATTGTTTATTTACTTGTTTTTATTGTGATGTTCTCTTTTTCACCTTGTGACCTGGCTTGAAAGGTGGTCAAAAAATAATGTTTGACTCATATTGATATGTACCATAGTTTATTCCATAGCCATTTAGATGGCTGGCACCATTTATATCCATTCATGCTTTTGCGTTCACATGCTTTAGGTGAAGTTCACGAGCGCTGTGAAGCTATCTGAAGGGGCTGCTGTCGGGCCAGAGTATGGCCGAGACGAGGAGGAGAATTTCTTCAAGCGGCTCGGTAAATGGAGGTCTGGCAGGAGGAATCCATCCAAGCTTCACCACACAGAAGAGAAAGATGGTAGACCTCCCCCACGCCGGGGTGTCCCATGCTTCACTGTCCTTTTGTCTTCTCCTCTCTTTCTGTCCTTGCCTTTGTTTGTTGGTGTAGTGTGATGTCTCGTCTGACCAAGTCGTGGTGGCTTCTTCTTTTGTCCGTCACCCTTCATTTGTTACTGGAAAGCTGTCGGCCCAGAATGTAACCTGTTGTTTCGTTCATATTTGTAGATGCTACAAAAAGACATCCGAAAGTCACAAACAACAATGCAGTGATGGCACTTAAAAGCCAAATACACCATGAGTTAATTCTGAACAACACTGAATTCAGCAGGAGATGCCAATGAACAATTTCTTGCTTGGTGGACTTTGATCCAAACCATATGAATGAGTTTATCGCAAACATCATACACACTTTGGGTGCCTTGAACAGAAAAAAGAAAAATATAAATCAAATCTAATATAATTATTATTTGGGCACACTCTGGCCCACATTTCAGTCACATTTTGACCTTATTTGAGCTAAAAGGTCCAAAGCTGAATGCTAAGTGTCAGTCCAAATCATCGGTCCAAATGAACAATTAGGGATAGGGTTAGGGTTATGCTTCATTTGTATGGATTCTCGGTCATCCAGGGCATAAAAATCTTGAAGACTTGATAAAAAAAACAACTACAACTTTCCTGTTTTCCTTGAAGATGTTTTGCATCTCATCCAAAACCTTTCTTCAGTTCTGGAGAGCTGAAAAAGCTTCTCAGATGAGAAGTAAAATGTCTTCAATGAAAACAAGAAAAGTGCGATTGTTATTAACTCAACTTTCAAGATGGCCATGCCTTGATGCCAAATAGCAATAAAAACAAAACAAAAAAGATTTGTTTGTCCAGAGATTTGCTGTTGCTATTTGCAAATTCACATCTGCAAAAATACAGATCTTCCATGTAGAAGTTTTTATTCCCAGAAATGTTGAATATACGGCCAAAGGTTTGTTTCAGCAGGTCACAGCTGAGCAAGAATTATTTATCTGTCTCAGCACTCAGACCGAAAAAACTTCAGAACTGTTAGTGTCTCAGTGCAATGTTTACATTGACTTTTTCAAAACTTTTTGGGCAGAATCCTATACGTCAAGAAAAAAACTAATTTTCAGCGCATTCAAAGCTCCATCCAAGGGTGGTCTCTAAAAACTGATTCTAAATTGTTGTCCTCTACAAACTAAGAAGGTTTGAGCAATGTTTTGTTTCCCAAATCCACATTTCCTCTTTCCAGCACGTCTTGTTCTTTTCAACATTGAACACACTCTTCTTTTTCGCTTTGCAACGAAAAGAGAAGAAGGGCATTGTCTGACAATAGCTAGTATCTAGGAGACCATCTTTCTGCTGCCGAGCGATTTTCTGTGCTTCTACAAGCATGTCAGAGCTCCATCCATCTCTTCTGTGGTGACGTCTGGTGGTATTTTCCAGAGTTTTACAGTGAAGTACAAAACATTGTCGTCTGCATACAGCTTTACTTTGTGTGGCTAAGATTACACTTGCCATTTCTCTGATTTATTGGATCAACTATTGAGAAAGCAATAAAAACATTTGTCTGGAGGGTTAAGAGAGATCTCGATGATGAGAAGTAAATAAAAGTTAAAAACTCAAGTGTAAGCTTTGCCTGTGGCCGTGTATCATCTCTCGCTCATCCTCATTTGTTGGTTCTTTGGTGACATTTGTTAAATGTCCTGGATGTTGTTTCAAACAAAATCCAAGTTAAATCTTAACTGAGGTTTTTACTATAATCGCATGTTTTATTTATTTTTTAAATCAATTCACTTGCTCTGTTTTACCCCCTTTTTTCCATGTTATTTGTTATTATTCTCCAGGACCACATGGTTTTCAGGAACGACTTGCAGCCAGTCAGGAGGCAATGAAGAATAAAAACGTAGTGAATCTGGGTGCAATCCGACAAGGAATGAAGCGCTTCCAGTTTCTTCTCAACTGCTGTGAACCGGGAACCATCCCTGATGCGTCCATTCTAGCTGCTGCTTTAGATTTGGTACGCTCGACTTTGAAAACCTGCTTAAACAAGCTAGTCTGAGTGCTTTGACCATTCCGTGTTTACCTCCTGGCTCCGTTAGGAAGCACCGGTCGTGGCTCGGGCTTCCCTCTTCCTAGAATGTGCCAGATTTGTCCATCGCTGTAACCGCGGTAACTGGCCAGAGTGGATGAAGGGCCATCACGTGAACATCACCAAGAAAGGCCTGTCCAGGGGCCGCTCGCCAATAGTGGGCAACAAGAGGAATCAGAAGCTGCAGTGGAACGCAGCTAAACACTTCTGCCAGTGGGGGGATGTGGGTTAAACATGACACAAAGCCAACAAGATGGCTCTTTATATCCCGGCCTAATTTAAACATATGCACGTTTTTATGTTTTAGGCAATTGGCACCAGGCTCAGCGAACTCTGTCACTCTGATAGTGAAAGCCCCGCAAACATCCTGGGTTATATTTATGATGAAGAAACCAAGCGAAGAATGAGGAAAGAAGATGAAGAGGAGGACTATTTAGATGATAGTGAGTCTGTGATGCTTTTTAAAAAATTATTTCTTCAACAATAAATTGGTCAAAGAGTTAATTTTGTGAAAATGAACACAAAACAATTTTAAAAAATCCAAGATTTTTTAAACCTAAGACACCATATTGGTCAAGTGGTTCCAGCTTGATGGTTTGGATCAATCTTAAAACTTAAAAGTCAAGATATTAATGAGAAATGGGAAGAAAAATCGTATTACAAATCTTTGAGATTGAGTAAAATTAGTCAAATTTGGAATCAGTGGAAAATTAGAAATTGGTAATCCTCGAAACTGAAATCAGTGCATCTGTTGTCAGATATTTGTTCCTGTCCTGTAGCTGATTCCAGTGTACTGTTTCAAATGTACAGGGAGGTAAAAATATTGCTGAAAAGTTCTGTAGAATTTGGTTCACTAGATGGAAAACATCTAACCTTGTTGTTCTGTCTTATTTTATGTGTTTGTAACCTCAAAGACACGGTCAATCCTACCAAATGTGGCTGCCCCTTTGCCCTAAAGATGGCTGCCTGCCAGTTGTTGTTGGAAATCACCACATTCCTGCGAGAGACCTTCCCCTGCTTATCCCGTCCTCGCACTGAACCGCTCGTGGTCAGTTGTCAAATCTAGTCAGGTTGAGAAAAACTAAAAAAAGAACCACGCGCATAATATAAACAGACTCAGCTGTGTTTGCTGTAGGATCTGGACAGCTGCCGTCTGCGTCTGGACCCAGAACTTGGTCGTCATCGCTACGAGAGGAAGATCAGCTTTGCCGGCATCCTCGATGACGAAGACGGGCATGACTCGCTGAACAGCAGCAGCCACACGCTGAAGTCTGACACTACCTGTGATGAGAAGAAGATCCAGGAGGTCCAGGGTGAGGCCTGCGTTTGTAGCTTGGCCTGTTTCTTTTCATCATCTCTCTCCTTTGGCTCACTGGTCGTTTTTGATTGTAGATAATCTCTCCCCACTCCCCTGCTCCCCAGCACCCATTAGGAGGATCCGCATAGGAGGTTCCCGGCTGCTCCAGATCAAAGGAGCCCGCAGTTTTCGTGTGAAGAAAGGCGGCTCCCTGTCTTCGATTCGCCGGGCAGGGAGCCTGAAGAGCACTAAGCTGTCTCGGCAGGACTCCGAGTCGGAGAACGAAGAGGGGCTGCTGTCACAAACACAGAGCAGGGACACGGTAACGGACATCGGTAAGACATGAACGTTTTTTTGAAAAATGACTCAAGAATGTTATGAACTGGATTTCTTTCAAATAATAATCGCATCATGTTGAATAATATTTTTAGATTCACAAACTTCAAAACGTTGAAAAATTATGAAGATAATCTTACTCAATTACTTACATATTTCACATTTCAAGTGAGAATTACATAAAGTTGTCAAAAGCAGTCTGAAGTTATAATTATAATGCATCAAACTTATATAGCGCTTTTTAGGACACTCAAAGGCGCTTTCACACACTCTCACATTCACACACTGCCTGTGATGGTAAGCTACGTTGTAGCCACAGCCGCCCTGGGGCGGTCTGACAGAGGCGAGGCTGCCATTTGGTGCCGTCGGCCCTTCTGACCACCACCAACACAGGCAATTTGGGTGAAGTGTCTTGCCCAAGGACACAATAGCAGAATACCCCAGGCAGGAGCTGGAATCGAACCCATGACCCTCCGATCATGGGCCAACCTGCTCTACCAGCTGAGCTACTGCTGCCCCATTGACACTAAACATTGACACTGTTTAGGATAAGGCTCATCCAGGAAGTTTTCCACGCGGGGCCAGATGAGGGCCACAGATCATCTTGGGCTGGTTCAGCAAAAATCCAAATCTCGACAGAATTTCACCTGTTTAAATACATGATTCAAATGTATGTTTTTTTATAAACTGCAGCAAATGAGTAAAGAAGTCACGTAATTGTGTGTCTTACGTATTCAATCTGTGAAAGAATATACAACAATTTTTAAATTATTTTTTATAATGTATAATTGTCCTTTTGAGCAGTTTCATTGTGTGTTTTCATGTTAAATGTTTTTCAGGAAGCCCATTCAGCACCAGTGAACCCAGTATCGAGCCCGAGGGTCAGAGTTCAGGAGGAACTGAGGACAACTACCACCGCAACATGTCCTGGCTCCACGTACGTCTCGTTGTGTCCTGACGGTGTTTCTCTCTGTTCTAGTTTCAAACTGACTTCTCTTTGTTGTCTCTGTTGCAGATTATGATTCTGCTGTGCAACCAGCAGAGTTTCATCTGCACACACATAGACTTCTGCCACCCGCGCTGCTACCAGCACCACGGTCGCTCCTGTGCTCGCCTGGTCCGCGCCATAAAACTTGTGTACGGCGAGTCGGTGGACAGTCTAAGAGACGACAGCGGTGCTGCTCACACTGGAGGCCGGGCAAAGAAAAACAAAGAGGTGCTTTATTAAAAATAAACATTATAGTCATTTTAAATTAGGGGAGACGAAAGCAATTATGTGTTGTTTTTGTCTTTTCAGTGTTCAGACAAGTCGTGCTTGAGAACACCATCCATGAAGAGAAAACCCAACGACAACAGCACAGAAGGGAAAAAGGACACCGGCATGCTCAAGTACATCCGTAACCAGGTGAACCAGGTTTCCACCAACCTTATTTAAAGTATCACAGTTTCCTGCTCCTCCACCCTGTAAATTGAAAGTGGACTTACAACAGTCGTAAACAACTCTGCAGCAGCCTGCTGTAGCTAGCGCTAACAACAAGCTAACACCAACATGAGCCGACTAATACTATACAATAAACCACAAAGTAAAAAGATCCACACTGTTGGACAAAAACTATAATTACTTACAAGTCCAGTAGCAACAAAGCCAGGTCACCATTAGTCTGTAATTTTGTAGCCTCCTTTAGCTCCTTCATAAAACTTTTCCCCCAAAGACATTACTCTTATACGTTTACTTCCAGGTTTTGCCAAGATGCCAGCAGAAACAGCAAACTTTTTCTTCTTGTGCTTTTTACTGACGATCATCAAACTCAAAAAGCTAACTGCTAGCATTGCAGCTAACAGCTATAAAGCCGGTCAAAAGCTCCCCCTATAGAGCACCTAACCCTACATAAAATTGTTGTTTTTGGTCAGAGTGGTGTCAAATATAAAACTGGTTTGTAACTCAACAATTACTGAGATCAAAGTTAAAGCTCTTAGCATCGTCGACGTGTGCTCTTGGGGAAATGCGCAGACTGATTACTACGTCACAGGCTGTTTACCTAAAAAGACGTGCTATCTCCGGAAGTTGTTCATTTACTGCTTGTTGTATGTTTACCTGACAATTAGCTTGTAAATGGCTTGTAAAATATCGTTATTGTACTGTAAACAAGAAATTTCTCCCACTGTTTACCATCATTCACTGAATCACGACAAACATGGTCTTTTTCATGAATAAAACACAACACTGTACATTTTCGCAAATTAATATACTGCAGTTTTGTGTTTTTGAGTATATCACCAACTTAAAAGAAACCATGCTTAATAAGCGTGTTACTATACTATAAACAATAGTGAACCTGTCGTAACACGCTGCGGTAGGAATATTCAATGAGAAAGCATGGATAGTCAGAACACTGGGGTAAGTTTATGACAGCAGCCGCTTGTCTTAGGCTTAGTTTTTAGTTCTTATCCAACTCTCAATAGGTTTGCTGTCAGGGAGTGAGAGAGACAGGTGTGTGGTTGCCATGGTGGCCTTTATGAGCCACTGGTGATTACCCTAGAACCTAATTAGCAGCAGCTTTTATGTGTTATCTTCTAAAATGTTCTATATATGTTCTCTTTTAATATCTGCCTCATAAAAACATCATTTTGCTGTGTATTTTGTTTCAGGTAATGAGTTTGTCCCCAGCTCCTCTGTCCCTGCTCATCAAAGCTGCTCCCATCCTCACGGATGGCATGTACGGAGACATCCAGCCTGCTGCCTGGGAACTCCTGCTCAGCGTGGATGAACATATGGCAGCTGCAGCTGGTGAGTCAAGCTGAACATCACTGGGTAGACTTTGAAGGTTATAACCCTTCCATGTTTCCCCAAATTATACTTTTTTCTCTCCTTTTGGTTTATATGTTCTACTATTTCTTATTTTTCCTTTTCTCTGACCTTTCCGATTCTCCTCACAGCCGCCATGTTCCTTCTCTGTGCGGTAAAGGTTCCTGACGCGGTGACCGAAATGATGACGGCAGAGTTCCAGCACCAGGAGGCCTGCCAGCGCATTAACTCCATCCTGAAGTTCTACACCTTGTGGCGTTTCCGCTACCAGGTGTGGCCCCGCATGGAGGAGGGGGCCCAGCAGATTTTTAAGGTATTGTGAATAAATTAGGATTAATCCTGCTTTGTTTCTAGTCCTCATTGTTCAACTTGAAATGATTTCCGTGGCACATTTTCAGATTCCTCCACCCAGCATCAACTTCACACTGCCATCTCCCATCCTGGGAATGCCTTGTGTCCCCATATTCGACCCTCCCTGGGTGCCGCAGACAACCGGCAGCGTCCAAGACCCGATCAACGAAGACCAGTCTGTAAGTCTGAGCTCCCGCTCCAGCCCGGAGCCCCTTTTGACTTTTTTGTAAACGGTCAGAATTTGGTAGCTCATGCATCTACTTGTGGATGTGAAGTTTAAAAGTAAATTACCCCAAAATTGAAGTTGCACAACACATTTCTTACGACGATGTAAAAGGGCTAGCATAGTAGAAACAAAGGAGTAAAGGGAGCATTAACAAGAGGTGAGAATCCAAGAAAAATTGTAGGAATCAGAAGATTAATGTCACATTGCAACAAGATTTTAGATAGTCTGAGATCTTTGAACATTCTAAATTAGCATTTTTTTTATTTGTCAGTGGCATTCATTTAGAATCATTTTCACTGATATTGTAAATTCAAAAATTTGCAAGAAAAATAGTCAACCTCCAGGATAAAATTTACCAAGAAAACAACTCTGCTGTTAGTTGACTTTGTTAGATTTCAAATTTGTGAGAAAAGCCTAAATTCTGATGGTAAAGTTGAAATTTAGAAGTTCATATGAAAAGTTGTAAGAATATCTGCATATTCTCCAAATTGTGATTGGTACATTTTAAGAGTATTATTGTATTAAATAAATAAATTGGAGTTTGGAGCCGTCTTGTGGCAGGCTGCAGGTTATGTTTTAGGCCACGCCCCCTTTTTGTAAGTGGGACTTTTCTCGACTATAAAATAAAAAAGCAACTCAGGTTTGCTGCTGAGGGGGTCATGGTCTGTTGCTTTTTTTTATTGGTGGTTCAACGAGAACAAACCAGAAGCCTTTTATTTTCAAAGGTCCTCAGGTGTGAGAAAACCAAATTCCAAGCACAGAATGCATCTTCACCTGGATGTTTATTTTTTAAGCTTAATTTGTGTAACAATTTGGATCCCCCCTAAAGTGCAATTCTGTTTTTGTATTTTCTTTCTTTTGTTTAAATTCATGAAATCTTTAATTACGGGGGTTAGGGTTAGGGTCCACTCAAAATTTTCCAAGGATGATGCGTTTTTCTGGTAAATTTAAGAATTTATTTTCATTTTGATTTTTTTTTCTCACAGGTTACAAAATTATTCTCAAAATTTCTCAACATTTTCTCAGAATTTTAATCCCAGGTCTTTTTTTCTTTCTTTTTAATTGATTCTTTGGCCCTAATACGCCATCATATGTATCCTGATGTCTCCTTTCACACAATTTTGCCTTTTTTTTACCCCTCCAAATCACAAGTATTAATGTTTGAACATGTCCTATATCTTTGTTTTTAGTACCCCACATTAATTCAGTCAGTCCATACCATAGTAAGTTAATATTTCTGTCCAGATGTTTGTGCTGATGCATCTTGTTAACTCCGACTGGTGACGACGGAGGAGAAAACATCTTTGTATCTGACACTTTCTATGGATGCTGCATCTTGATCAGATTCAAAAATCTTCCACCATTTGCTTTGCCAAAAAAAGAGAGAGAGAACGGAAAATGACAACAGCATGCATCGAGCATACAGACATGTTGATGTGCTGTTGATGCATGGTCATTAGAAGAGAATTACTTTGCTGTGAATGTTTTTCATATCATGCCGGCAGTAATTAAATGTGTGTGTGTGCACTTTGTGTGAGAGCTGTGAAGCATTTACTGTACACGAGATACAGTAAATTCTCCAAATTCCAGTCCGAAAACATGTATTTGTGTCCTGATTGACCCTATTTGACACCTGAACAGGAGGACATTCGAGCATGAGACCAAAGCGCTGGATGAGAGTTACTGTATTAACGTGTTGTCCAGCCCATCTGAGATAAAACGCTCCACGGGTGTAGCCTGTAACTTTCCTGAAACATTTGGACTCACTCTGGATGCGTCTTGTTTTTGTTTCCTTGTCAGAAATCCTTCTCTGCGCGGGCAGTGTCGCGATCCCACCAGCGGGCCGAACACATCCTGAAGAACCTGCAGCAGGAGGAGGAAAAGAGACGTCTGGGCCGCGAGGCGAGCATCATCACGGCCATCCCGGTGGCACAGGAGGCCTGCTACGAGCCCACGTGCAGCCCTCCGCCCGAACAGGAAGAGGAAGGTGGGACTGATGGTGTTTTGACACCCTTAATACTTCAGATGCAAGATACTCTGAGGCCTGCTTATTGAAATTCAAGAATGACAATACTTTAGCAGCACAGGTCAAAGCAGATTAGCATCATTGTTACAAATTAACATCAAACCCTTAAAGCATCCAGAGTATCAGGATTAGTACCTTCTTATACAATTCTACTGCCCTTTGGTAGAGGATCCACAGGTGTCAGAAGTCACATTTATTTCTTTATTACTGTTACATTCTTATGGAATCACACAATAAATCAAAACTAATCATTATTTAGTCATAGCCTCCTGAAACCATGCATAAACCACCGTAAAGAGGATAGTTGCCTCTTGCTTTATATTGTTTTGTTTTTTTTTTATTAAAGGGACATTATGGAAGTTTGACAGCCAAAACATGTATAGAAATAATACATTTCTTCTTCATACATTCTCCTGCAATGCCCAGGTCCTGTAGAATGAGCCCTGGCATTTTTACTGTGATTGCCTGTTTTTCTGTAAAATCACAGAAAAAGAGAGTTGCTCGGGTCGAGCAGGCTGCTTCATGCGCGTTCACGCTCAGGCATAGCCCGTAGCATTTGCTATCAGTAGCTTTAGCAGCAGAGAGAGAGGTAGTGCCAACTCAGCAACTTTGTCGCTGTTCCTAACGCCTAGTGATGAACCTAGCTACATTTCTGAAGACCCTTAGCTACTTTCTGTAAAACTTTCTTCTAGATATTTCCTGCAAATTAGCAACAAAATAGCCATTTTCGCTTTGAACCGTTCTTTGGTTTGATGTTGTTTCAGGTGTCCTCAAGGATATAAAAGTTACAGATACAGTAACTGTTACTAGAGTGTAGCTCATCTTGTAAGATGTCTGACTCACATGCAGAAGACCTGAGTTTGGCATGTCCCTCCTACCACTTTTTCTAAAGTCAATTTTTGTCCCCTGCACTTTTTACCATCCAAAAACAATATTACGCTATAGACTGGTTGAGCACTAGGACCAAGAGTTCAGCTAAAATCTGATGTAAATGAGCTCTGTTGATCAGATATTTAAAATAAGTGTAAAATGGTGACAATGAGTAAGAATGAAAAGGACTTATGAGGTCAAAAACAATTAAAGTTTAATTGAATTTTTTGTTGTACTGCCACCTGTGTACTTCAAATTCCTGACATTGCATAAGAGAGCTTCTATGCTGTAGTTTTATACATAATTTTGAATACTTATAGTAGAGTCCCCCCCCCACCCCCACCCCCACCCCCGCATCCCCGTCCTCATGCTGGTTGTGACCCTAAAGACAAAACTATGTCCATGCAATCAGCCGTTAAAGGTCTGATGTTATTCTCACCATCATTATGTGTAATTTATGATAGCGCTAACAAATGCTCCACATGGACATTTTGACTTCCAGTTTTGTCTTATAGAGATTAACTGTCAGTGGCGGCTCCAGAAATGTTTTTCTGCAGGTGCTATGAAGGAGCTAGTCTTTTTATTGAGGGTGCTATGAAGGAAGTGGTCATGTGTACCTATTGTTCTCTAAAACACCTTCAACACTAGCAGGTACACATGCGTGCACAAAACCTCAACAACACCTGAAACAATCATTAATATACATCATAAACATGTGAACAATCGCTGACTTTTCCATGAAATCATAAACACATACAGCCACACAGAAAACCATCTATAGTGTTGCAAGGTTAGCTAACGTTAGTGTTAGCATTTCCAGCGGCAAAACCCTCGACTGCTGCGGCGGTTGAGGGTTGACTCTCTTCATCCAGATCCGTAGGTTTTTGTGGGTCTGAGATCACTTCCAAACATTCATTCGTTTCTAACTGAACCCGTGGACATTTGGGCAACAAAAACCGATCCATTTTACCACTAGCTCTACCTTTCACTCGTTCACAGGTGGAACATGAGGTCAAAGGTTAACTTCAATTTCCTGTTTTGGTTTAAGTTTTTACTATCTATATGATAATTTACTGATTATTTTTGTTTTGTATGTTAAATATTATCACATCCACACAGTAAATTAAAATTAAATTGTAAAAAAATAAAATCTGATATTTACTTGGGGGTGCAGTGACTAATCCAGGGGTAGCTATAGACCCCCCCCCACCCCACCCCACCCCCACCCCCCCGGGTGCCGCCACTGCGGTCTTTACTTAAAATAATTCTGTTACTGATAACTCTTTGATGTTTACTGAACTCAACCAGCATTAGGGTCGGGAGAAAATCTGTACTTCTTTTGGCCTTCAGAATCAAAACAAATTCATGTTTTATATTGACCTTTTGTGGTTTCATCTCTTTATCCTGCCAGCAGAAGAAGTGGTGAACCTGGCATCACGCCGCCTATCTGTCAGCCCATCCTGCGCCTCCAGTAACTCCCATAGGAATTATTCTTTCCGTCGTGGTTCTGTTTGGTCCATTCGCTCACTGGCAAGTGCAGAAGGTATGAAATCCATTCAGTTCTGTACTCTGTGTTCTGTTTTTATTTAAAACTTGAGCTCAACTTGCTGTAATTAAATTTACAGATGAGGAGAACACAACAGAACACACTCCTACTCACCACATGCTGCAGCCACCTCAGTCTGTCTTCCCAGCATGCATCTGTGCAGCAGTCCTGCCGATAGTGCACCTGATGGAAGACGGTGAAGTGAGAGAGGATGGCGTAGCCGGTAGGCGCACAAACATGACCTGACTTAAAATTTCAAGCCATATTTCAAACTCATGAACATAGTAATGAGTGTTTTTGAGAAGAAATAAATTCTGGAATGTTCCCTCAGTGAGTGCTGTCGCCCAGCAAATCCTGTGGAATTGCCTGATTGAAGATCCAGCTCTGGTTCTCCGTCACTTCCTGGAAAAACTCACTGTGAGCAACAGACAGGTGGGTAAGCATTATAACACACCAACAAAAAAAAACTATTGGCCCATTCTGAAGTGTATTCCTAAGCTAAATTATAAATAATTACTATTTTTACAAGCTTCATGAACCGCCTCTGTTTGAAGCAGAGCCGTGTCCAGGACTTTTAAAATGGGGTGGCCCATGTGGGGCACTTGTTTATGCATGGGTGGCACCAATGGTTATGCTTATTTATTAATTAACACAAATTGTTTATTTATTTATTTACTTTCTAGTGAACTTTGGAGTTTCACATTGCGCAATCACCATTTTTTTCTATTCATCTTCTAGTTTTGTGGTGGTTAGCAAGTCACCTCTTGTTGCATTATTGCCACCAACTGGAGTTGAGTGGGACTCTAAATATTATTTATGTGAATATGAAAAAATAATAAATAATAATACTACAGAAATGTTCTGTAGGGCTGGGCTAGAAGACAATGTTAAAGGTGCATGCAACCACACACTATTTTTGGAGTTTACAACTCAAGCCTTTTGTCGACAATGTAAAGTCAATTTAAACTGGAACTTAGTAGGGTGGCACCTGGGGGTGGCCAATCAGATTCTAAGGGTGGCATGTGCTACCCCAGGCCACTCCCTGGACACTCCCCTGGTTTGAAGAAACAGTTTACACAGCTGACAGCGAGTCTGAATGCAGCTAGGACAAAAGTGGACTGTTGTTGTCTCAGTTCACAATGATGCGTGCGACTGTTGTTTTGTAAATCTTTAAACTGACTTCAAATTTCAGGTTCTAGTTATTTAATTTCACGGTTATGTATAATTACAGCATTAACATCACCATCATCAGTAAAATGTAGCACTTTTGGTGCACAGAGGATTAATGTAAATTTCATATTTTTTAAGCCAAAAGAATCATAAAATGTAAAAATATATGGAAAGGAAAACCATTTTTTTAAAGAGTTTTAGTAGAAAACGTCTAAAAAGTGCATGTGTAATGACATTTTTTGTCTTTAAATGAAATTTCACATTAAGTGTTATTTTTTAATTAAAAAAAATTAAGCCTTTCCTGCTGGACTTGACCCCTGCGCCTACCAGAAGTTCCACAGTTAGCTGTTGAATTTGATGTTTACTCTCGTAACAAATTACTGCATCGATTGTCAATAATTTTAAGAAGTTATATGAAAAAAAACAAGAACTGCTGTAAAATGTAGAAAATTAAAGTCGTTTTAAGACGATACCTTTACACTTTGCTCTTACATAGTTTATATTAGCCAGTAGCACACAAAGGCACTATACAAGTTCGGGTCATATCAATACCAACAGATTCTCGTGATTTTAAAATTTATACAAGCTTAGAAATGGCTAACAGATATTGAAATGTAGCAAAGTTTCAACCTTACATGTCTTGTACTTCTTTTATCCAGGATGAGCTGATCTACATGCTCAGGAAGCTGCTACTCAACATCGGAGATATGCCTGCTCAGACCTCTCACATCCTCTTTAACTACCTGGTGAGGTCGAGTGGAGCCACTTTCATCGCTTTCCTGCTCAGTCTTTTACAAAAAAATTGGTAATCTCTATCAAACCCTCCTGTTTAGGTGGGGCTCATCATGTACTTTGTGCGAACTCCCTGTGAATGGGGTATGGACGCTATCTCGGCCACATTGACCTTCCTCTGGGAGGTGGTAGTGTATGTAGAGGGGCTCTTCTTTAAGGACCTGAAGCAGACCATGAAGAAGGAGCAGTGTGAGGTCAAACTGCTGGTCACTGCGTCCATGCCAGGTGAATCTGATGTTCTAAAACACATTTTATCCATGAAATTAGTAAATATCAATCAACTCTATCTTAGAAATTCTCATCTCCATTGTTGCTTTAGGAACCAAAACTCTGGTGGTACATGGTCAGAACGAATGTGACATCCCAACACAGCTACCGGTCCATGAAGACACACAATTCGATGCCTTGTTGAAGGTAAATACACAAGCATTTGGAGTATTTTTTCATGAGGTATGTAGAAAGATAGTCTTCCACTGAACCAAATTTAAAGACTAGAGAGTCGTGAACTGGCTGAATCCATTGTCTAGTTAGGAGTAAACTAGATTGTGTTTAAAACAACAAGGCAAATCATTTCTGACCTGTGGGGTGCCTCAAGGATGTGTACTTGGTCCCATCCTAACTTCTTTACAAATGCTGTCTTTGTCTAGTTGTTTTGTTGTCACAATCACATTGATGATGCTCAACTCCTAAAAACCAGGGGTTCTAATACCTACTGGATTTTTTCTGTTTTTAGTTTGAATCACAGGAAAATTTCGCCACAGATAAAATTCTGTATAGCATCACCAAGCTTCCTTAAAGAGCAAGTCACCCCCTACAAGAAACTTACTTCACTCCACTTCATGTTTGAAAAATGCAACAAATGCTGTTGCTTGGCAGACAGAGAGGGCGGAGCTGCTAACAAATACACACACACACAGGCTCACAATGGCATTATGACAACATAATGTACCAGACGACATCATAGCATACCTTTTAGCCAATAGCGGTGGCAGATTTAAATTCAAATACAGTGCAGAATTTTTCCCTGACGACGGCGCAACACTGACAGTTTTAGGCAGAATATTTTAATTTTAACCAAGATGCACTGAACTGCCAAATTATTGACGACACGTGTCTGCAGCACGATTAGACACTCGTTTATATAGTTTATCAGCAAAAAAAATGTGATTTGGAGGTGACTTGCTCTTTAATATTTATCTGATTAAAAAAAATCCACTGAAGCCTTGGGCATCGTCTTTGAATGCCCTTTTGATGTGAGATAATCTCCCAAATGGGCAGGATTTTATGATCTGTTTGAGCAACGTTTGGCCCATTATCATACACATTGACCAAAAGACACTCAAGTTTTAAGAGACAAACTATTTTAAAATTGACAAGTTCAAAAATTCTAGATTTCAGTTGGCAAATCTTGCTTTTTTTAGTGAAAAGTCAAGCTCTTTTCTTTCTTAAATCACTAAAGGACCTACGATTTTTGCCCCCATTAAAGATGTTTGTATTGTCTGCTTAGTTTTTCTGGACTTAATTAACTTTAGCAGTGACTTTTACACTCATTGTTTACAAAGTTGCATTCAGGTGAGACATTGGCTCCAGCAAAATGATTGAAACCAGTTTAAAATTTAATTTATAGAAGCTATAAAAAAAAAACTGAGGAAATGAAGCATTCTCATAAAAGAACAAGTCAGTGAGACAAATAAGATGTTGATACTATGCATCTATTGCTCTTTTTAAAAATGAACCAGGAATGTCTTGAATTCTTCAACATTCCCGACGCCAGATCAGCTCACTACTTCCTTATGGACAAAAGATGGAACCTCATCCATTACAACAAGGTAGGATTAACTAACATTGTCCATGCTTTCGTTCTTTTTTAAACACAGAAACAGTTTTGTTTACCTGTTTGTAGCTACGGTTTCGCCGACAGCTGCCGGCTTCTTCAGGCTGACGCTGATGGTGGCGCGTCACTTCCTTCTCCGTTTATCTGCGGGCAGCAGAGGACGTTGTCGCCCTCTACTGCCCGCTCTCCCCTCTCCGACGATGCAGTCCCATGCGTGGTCCAGCGTGTAAACTCCGTCGTCCCTGTTCATGGTCCCACATCCACGTCTCCTTATCTCTATTGCTTCCTTGATCCATCTTTTGTATTTTTGTTGTTCAGTGGTTATGATCCGTGTGCTGTCCCAGTCCATTATATGGTTTTCTCTTAAGCAATGATCTGTTACGGCTGACTTTTTTATTGTACTTTCTGCTTCTTCTTTTGCTGCTCTTGTGTGTTTACGATTTGCTTAAGAGAAAACCATATAATGGACTGGGACAGCACACGGATCATAACCACTGAACAACAAAAATACAAAAGATGGATCAAGGAAGCAATAGAGATAAGGAGACGTGGATGTGGGACCATGAACAGGGACGACGGAGTTTACACGCTGGACCACGCATGGGACTGCATCGTCGGAGAGGGGAGAGCGGGCAGTAGAGGGCGACAACGTCCTCTGCTGCCCGCAGATAAACGGAGAAGGAAGTGACGCGCCACCATCAGCGTCAGCCTGAAGAAGCCGGCAGCTGTCGGCGAAACCGTAGCTACAAACAGGTAAACAAAACTGTTTCTGTGTTTAAAAAAGAACGAAAGCATGGATTTACAAAGACACAGCAAGAACACACCTAAGATGAACTAACATTGTTTTTGGAGTTTTATTTTGTTGAGATTAGGGATGAAAATGTCAACAGTAAAAAATAATAATAATGCAGTGAAAATAGAACCTACTCTTAGAGGTTGGTATTGTTGCACAAACAGTGGAGCCATCCAGCACTATTGTTTTTGTTGTTGTTGTTGTTGTTGTCTAAACTCATTATTATCATTAAATGATTAGCTTTTTTAAATAAATGAACAAATATGGAACAATTTTAAAAAGGAGCCATGAGTGAATGTTATTTAAAAAATACCTACATTCAGGGACCACATTTGGTGCAAATGTTGCTTTAACTGCAAAGCTAATGCACTCAGTGTCGTCTTCTGTTTGAGACTAAATCTGTTGGACAATCAAAAGTGTTTACCATCATTTATTAACGTGGTGGCCAAATAAGGTTGTACATTTCTTTGTAAGCAGTAATGCTAAATGTAAGTAGTTGAAACCATCGATAGTCTCATGCTAGTCCTCGGAATTTGACTATTTACTGACATTAATTAAAGACTTTTACACAATAGTTTTATCTTTTTGGTATAACCCATTTGAGTGTTGTTGTTTACATCCGGGTTATCTCTGTTCACGCTGGGGGTGCAAAACCCCTGTCTTCAGCATTATCCAGAGCTGTGTCTCCATGATTTAAGCTCACAAAATGTAGATATTACTACTTTAGATCATCTAACACATCTTTGTTGATGATCAAAATAAGAAACGTCTGAAAGATAAGGTGTTTAGTGCAAAGATTTGTTTGAAATAGCTAACGAGCAGTGGGGATGGCAGTCCTCAGAATTGGTCATCTGAGCTTCACACAGCTGAACCAACAAAGGTGTAACCGGACGTTTTCTACGTTACTGCAGGTCACACACAGAATTACACACCACACTGGTGTTGTCAGTTTCACACATGTTTGTTTCTCAGGACTGATCTGCAGCACAGCTCCCCTCCTCGCTGCTGCCTCTGAGCAGGTGATGCTACCCCAGCTACTTGTGCCCCGCGGCTGCGCATAATTCTATCAAAAACCATATAAGTCATTGGGTGGCAATAACTTGTTCCTGTCTGGACATGCAGGGCATATCAATCAATCAATCAATCAATCAATCAATTAATCAATCCATCAAGCTTTATATATATAGCACTTTTCACCGCCGTCAAAGGGGGCCCAAGGTGCTGGACAAGAAAAGTAACAAACATAAAAGCAGCAAGTCATAAAAACATTAAAAAATAAATAAATAATAAACAAAAAAGTAAATGAGATAAAATTTAGATAAAATAATTTTTTTTTATTCTGTCATGAGATTATGCCACGATGTGGGTGGTTTATCCACTACAGTTCTCTATGGTTGTTAACCATTGACTTTGGAGTATTTATCATCTGGAAACGCGTAAAATTTTACCTTTACTGGCCTTCCGTCTACTTGCACAGCCTACAGCTCTACATGTGTTAACCATGCTAGTAGATTTTATTTAGCGCTGTTTATTGACAACTAACAGTAAGCACAACGGTGGCCTACGGGGCGGGGCCGTTTTCTTGCCCTCAAGCCAGAAGCTGTCCAGGGGTCTATAGATGAAAACACATAAAGGTGTTAATCTACTAAAGCTTTTTCTTTACAGTTTCTGGATTTTTTTAAGTTGTTTTCAACCAAGTGATTCCTCTTTGTTCTTCAGACCTATGTCAGAGACATCTACCCTTTTCGAAGGTCCGTTTCTCCCCAGCTAAACCTTGTTCACATGCTGCCTGAGAAAGGACAAGAACTCATCCAGAAACAGGTAAAGAGTATAAATTGGCCACCAGAGTTCAGGGAATTACGTAAATAAGGACATTGCTGAATTGAAGAGTGGATATTTAAATAGTTAAACCTTTCATTTTTGCCTGTCTAGGTGTTTTCTCGGAAACTAGAGGAGGTTGGTCGGGTCCTCTTCCTGATTTCCCTCACACAACGCATTCCATCTATGCACAAGCAGTCTCACGTCTCCTTGCTACAGGAAGACCTGCTTCGACTTCCCTCCTTCCCACGAACCGCCATTGATGCTGAGTTTTCCCTTTTTAATGAGCCACAAGGTGAAGCAGGCAACCTCTAGATTATTTTAAAGGTTGGGGAGGTTTGACCATGTTCTTCGTTGCTGTCCAGGTAAGGAGCTGTTTGGTTTTGACACCCTTCACAAGGTGCTGTGGATCAAGCTGCTGGAGGAGATGTTCTTGGGCATGCCCAGTGAGTACCCCTGGGGCGATGAGATGATGCTGTTTCTCAACGTCTTTAACGGGGCATTGCTGCTACACCCAGAGGACAGCTCCCTCCTCAGGCAATACACTGCCACCGCCATCAACACAGCAGTCCACTTCAATCACCTCTTCTCCCTGAGTGGATACCAGTGGATCCTCCCAACAATGCTTCAGGTATTATGTTAATGTTGGCACAAAATCTGGTGTGTTTTGAGTGTGCAGAGAGTCATAGATGTAGCCCAAAATGAAAACAAAACACAAAAACCACTTATTTTGCCTTGAAACTAAGATTGTCTCATTTTAAGAAGTGATCAACTTGAGTTTGGTCAATCTTAAGAATAACGTTATGACCAATCTGGTTCAAAATAGCAAGATCTAAGAAAATTTGTTAGCCCTCGGAGCGTTGTGAATGACTCTTCGCTATCAACACTCTGAACTTTAGCTCAATTGCTTTAAATTGACCGAGGCATGTTTCTGTTTTCTTGGGTCAGTTGGCTTTGTCGGCCATCTTAAATCCTGTAACTATTTTTTTTAAACAAACGTTTAATGCATTGGTTGCCATTGGTATGTGAAGAGCATGTCAAGCGATATGGCAAAAAATGCTCTAGAAAACCCTCTAAATTCACCTAGTGCTTTGCGAAATAATTTAGTAACACAACAGACAAAATTATGTTGTGCCTGTAAACTTCTTGAATGGGAAATGATAAAAAATATAACATAACCATGTTAGGAGACATGCTTTGAAATAGTGCGTCCTCCTTTGGTGTCTCTAACAGGTCTATGCGGACTATGAGAGCAACCCTTTGCTGCGACAGGGCATCGAGTTCTGCTGCCGGCAATTCTACATCCTCCACAGAAAACCTTTTGTCCTCCAGCTGTTTGCTAGTGTGGCTCCACTGCTGGAATTCACTGTAAGACCTCATATTGAAACATGAATAGGTGTTTTATTTCAAGGTCATTGTGTTAAGCTTTCCGTTTTATTTCTTTATTGTACCATCCACCCCAGACAAGCACTAGCACTGGTCTATCTAAAGGAGTTTCAGCTCAGTGTCTTTTTGACTTGATGGTCTCTCTGGAGGGGGAAACCCTGGATGCTCTAGACGCTCTGGAGTTGGTCAAGGCTGAAAAACCTCTTTGCTCTCTTGGTAATCTTTAACACTTTGTCTCACGCTTGCTGCATCTGGTTGAAGCATCAGCATAAACAATAACTGGTACTCACAATAGTAGTTTTGAGCCTCATTTGACTTTTAACTAATATATTCTTGTCATCTCACAGATTTCTGTTATGGCAATGAAGACTTAGCCTTTTCTATCAGTGAGGCCAT